CATCATAATATCAACCCATTTTAACTACAATTATTATTAATAAATTTTGCTTAATTGCTTTGCGAACCCCACTTCTAATCAACAGACTTTAAAAATCATTTTTTGATGAAGAACCTTTTGCCCTTGTGAAAAGAATTCTGTGTTGATTAGCCTTGTAAGCTTTGTTTCCAAGTGACTTCTATTACACATGTATTGTAGATGATATTTTTACCAGAGAATTCGGAGATAATATTTAGTAGCCTAACCCCAGTGGGTATTGATATTTTGGATTATAAATTATTTTTTTAAACAAATTGCTTTGTTTTTGTTTTTTTATGTTATAAACATTTTTTAAATGTCTTTTTCAATAATTTCAGTCAATTAAAGTACCATGTTTTTCAGGGGCATTAATTAAATCTATTATTACATTAATTACATAGAAAAGCCCCCTTTAAAAAAAAAACTCTAATATATTCTTATGATCTTGGGAATTCTTGGGAAATTTGCTCACCAAATCTTGGGAAATTTAAAAAAAGTGAGTGGCAGCCCTGCCGGGGACATCTGCCACCCCCTCGCTACGCCTCTGCCTCCAATGCATGAGTAAGTTAACTCTTGAAAATTTTTGATCACGCTTTACAAAATTTATCGGCACTTCATGGGTAGTGGTCCACATATGAATGAGATCAGCCAGATACAAAATAATATAACCGTATCTATAGACTATATAGGCCTACCACCATGGTAGAAAGAAGAAGCTTCTCTCTAGATCTTCACATATTGACCACCTCGATACTATGTGAGACTGAAGCCTAACCTAACAGGTTGCCTTATTTCCGCACGTAATGCGCCGCACCTTAGCAGCTGGATTGCGGATACTTCCTGCGACCGGATTCCGAGGACTCTGCCCAGTACCCATCCGGAAGAACAATCCGTTTGCCTGCATCGATGGGACTATGTCGTGTAGAAAGGACTTTGTCTTTACACCCACGACACACCGCTGGGAAGTCCACATCCCACAACGTACTGCAAGAAAGGCTATTCCACAACCTAATGCTGTGACGTCCATGTTCGTCCCCGCCCTGAGAAGCCACGAAGGATATGGACTGGAGGAACAACTTCCAACATCGAAGTGACCTCCTGTATTGATCAATCAAGCCAGATCATCTATCATTTGATATTTATAAGTTAATTTTAAACGGTCTGATCATAAAAATTTTATTACAAAGCATCAAATATTATGATGAATGTTAGGCATTTAGAGAGGCCAACATCCATATTCAATAGGACCTATATTATAAGTGTATGCAAAGGTAGATCTAAGCCAATATTACATGCTATTAAATTTCACATCGTTAAACTTGTGTAACTTCTTTTAAGTGTTGTAAATTGTGTGTAAATAAATAATTTCATTTATGAAATGTGTTAATATAGGCATAGATTTCTTTGGTTGCACAAAGGTGAATATGATCGTACTTATACTCCTTGACTTGATGTGTGAAATGAACCAAACATAAAACCCATACACACGAGCATGTGATAACTCATACGAGAGTTATCCACCTACACATTATAACTTAAATCCTTTCACCCCGATGTCCTGGAGTTAAATTTGAAAATGTCCTGGTTTTGAAAAAAAAAATATGGTCACTTTATATCCGTAAAATGCTCTTCCCCAACCAGGTATGTAGCCTTGACCTTCACATACGAGTGACTAGGAACACCAAACCCTGAGGTATGTAGCCTTGACCTTCACACACGAGTGTCTAGGAACACGAAGCCCTGAGGTATGTAGCCTTGACCTTCACACACGAGTGACTAGGAACACGAAGCCCTGCCAAGAACCTACTTGACGTGGTGGTGCCGTCTGGTGTAGAAGTGGGGCTGTGGAGAGGGCGCCAAGAACGTACTTGGCGTGGTGGTGGGGGACTGGTGTAGAAGAAGGGCTGTGGGGGGGGGGGCGGTCCGCCCGGGATGGCACCTTTTTCTTTATATGTACCGTATGGGTGGCATATTCTGCCAAATGCAGAGCTTTTTTCATGGAAGTGGGTGGCAATCATCTTGGCCGGCCATGGGCAACACTACCCAAGCTGCGGCATTGTGGTGAGGCACACTGGAGAGGGGTCAGGCGACATTTTCGCAGCTTACATGCTTGTTTGTATATTTTCTGCGTTCGGCTAGCTACCCACTAGTACCCACCAGAGTAAAAAAAAAATGTATACTGCTAACAAACTTCAAATTGATGCCGGCCATCGTCAGAGACCACGTCAAGGGGATTTGAAGCAGGTATGAGTATGCCCGCCATCGTCAGAGATTATGAAGCAGATGAGAAAGTACAAAATAAGAATTCGGGGGGGGGGGCGGTGGTCCGTGAGGCTAGATGAATGCAAATGGGAAAACTAAAACTGACAACATGAGAGACACTTTTATATTAACGCCATGAAGATCAGGCTCTGAAAAACTGCACGCACCTTACAGAGAGGAGAAAACTGCATGTAAACCAGAATTGCGTGCACGGTACTATCTCGACAGCGTGGTGTGCACCATTACGCGAGCCACGAGGATACACGCATTGCACCTGAAAAATCCATTGCGTATTCAGTGGCAGGTCAGAGGTCATTAAACGTCCCCAACATGTTCCTTTCTCTCACCCGGCTCTGCCAAGTCACGACAATAGTCTTCTTTGTGACGGCTGGATGGAGGTTGCACGAACTACTGGACGGCTGGATGGAGGTTGCACGAACTACTGGACGGCTGGATGGAGGTTGCACGAACTACTGGACGGCTGGATGGAGGTTGCACGAACTACTGGACGGCTGGATGGAGGTTGCACGAACTACTGGACGGCTGCATCTGCGCTGCAATGAACTTCACTTGATTTCATTGCGTTGCTTTTCCATGGGGTTAAAATGTGAAGGCAGTGAGCTTAGGCTTGGGTGAGGGAGGAGTGATACATTTTTGCTAAAAGAGGAAAGCCAGCAAAAAAAAAACACAAAAAAAAAAAACGCAAGACTATCTGTCGTCGACTTTCACAAACAGAAAGTGAAGCAGAGACACTGATTTCATGATATTACTCTTTAACCCCTTACCTAGAGGAGGCACCACACAACCAGATGCCACATGGCGTGACGCCACACCACGAGATGCTACACCATGGTCTTAGATGATAACAGGATCTTACGACCGATTTCAGATAACACACGGATCGTCTTATGCTCTCGTTTAAAAACTTCAGATCCGTTTTGTGAAACATGCGTTCCTTTTGTATTAGTGAGAACGTCGTACAAAATAAGAAGATCACCACGCGTTGCATTCAAATGACTCTTGCACCGAGCCATTTCCCCCACGCGTTGCATTCAAATGACTCTTGCACCGAACCATTTCCCCCACGCGTTGCATTCAAATGACTCTTGCACCGAACCATTTCCCCGTTGCACAATGTGTCACCATTTGTTGGACAGACTATGACGTATCTCCACACCAGACGGTAGGCTTATTGGTCAAGCTCAGATTATGAATGGCCAAAATAAGTAGGCCTAGAGATTTTTGGACTTTAAAAAAACTGATTAAGTCAACTAAAACGTGTGCATTTGTGGAGTGCAAAGTTAAAAATAGATTGAACTTTGAACTGCACTCAAGGGTTGTGTTGAGGCACTCTCTTTTTTTGATACGAAAGGACCCCCCCCCTCCCCCAACCCGGATCGAGAATGACTTGCCTCGGTGAGGCACCCACAGTAGCAATGAAATCATTTATTTTGTTTAAATGCGTTTGAACTGAACAATTTCAATTTACAAAGTCAGGGATATCAATACCAGGATGCTAGTAATTTGTAATAATGTGCTACCGTGCTACCAACTAGATAATATGTCAAGCCTGAGTTTTATAACTAGATATACTTCAAGCCAATATATTGCCTAGCCTGGGCGCCAACAATGATTAGTGGAGTAGTGGTGTCAGGTAATCGTGCCTCAGTATTGTATGTCACACTATTAAAAAAAGTAGTGGGTATTATTGCTTTATTTGATATATACACAAAAAAAATATTTTTTTTAAAAATTGTTTTTTCACATCGCATCACAGACAAGTACGAGTGTGAGATGTCCCTGATAAAATAGCAAGCCAAACAAAGTGATTCATTTTATTTACACTGCATACTTGCAACATGAATGTTTTAAAAATGATTATTTTCATTTATTTTCACATAATTTCAGTTAAATCCATACATGGAAATGGCATAAAACAGTGCTCAAAAATAGTTTAATTGTTTAAGCAAAATTCCCAGAAATCTCAGAGGATTATGTATTTTAAAAAATTGATCATTGATCATCAGAACACATGAATTGAACATAGATTAAAACACAGTAATGTGCATTAATTCTTATATTCATTACGTCTTTGGTCGCTTAACACATTGTGCTAACATTATTGTTACTAGTTAAAAAAAAAAAAAAAAGAAGGGATAATTCACTGTATGACTCAAGTTCAATAAAGCTCTTGATGACTGTTTGTCTGGATTAACTTCATCTAAATATGTATAAGTTACACAACACTGATGTCAATAGTACAACTTAAGTTAAGTGGCACTATGGCAAATCATGTATCATAAGTGACAAATTATTTGTTGCCTAAAATATATTATAAGAAGTAGAAGTCTACAAAAACAAAAATGCTTAACAATATGTAATCTATTTATTTTCTTCTTTTAAAAAAAAAAAAAAAAGTGACCATACTTTATATGATTGGCTTATGTTACAAAAAAATGAAAAGATTTCACATTCACAATCAAGAATGAGAAATTAACATAGACAATAACAATTGAGAAATTAAGCTCATTGTGACACAGCAGCTAAAAAAATCAAATAAATCAAAGAATAATTCAGACATTGGCAGATATTTAAAAAAAAAATTGTGCAGCTATTTCAACAACAAAAAAACATGTACCGGTACATAGGAGTAGTTACTGCTTAAAAATGACTGCAAGAAGATAAAACTTCCCTTGCATGTGACCAAAACCTGGCTGGTTATATATGTGAAATAGTCAATTGAAAAAACACTGAATCATATTTGTATTAGCAGAATTATGACAAATGTGAGATCACATTGTAATTTCTGTGGGTTTTTTTTTTCTGTCCTTCATTGACTCAGACTGCTTATTTTACCGCTATTTAAAAATTAATTTAAAAAAAAATATTTTAGAAAAACAGCCAGCTTTGATCATAATGAAGAACGGGGCAGCTCCCTCGGGGCCGGATTCTGGCATACATTGAAATAAATGTTGAACAGAGGTCTTTGTATAAAATAAAACTAACATTGTAATTTTAAAATACAATAAAGTATTTCTATTAAATAAATGATACTAACTTAACTTTCTGTTTACAATAACTGGTACCATTGAGAATTTAAAATGGTTCCCATAATGAATACAGGTAATTTTTAAAAAAATCAATAACAATTTTCTTTAAAATGAAAAGATAATTGATCAAAATAAATGAAACTTTGTTGCATTTTTTAAAAATTTATCATACATATTTTTTCCAGTCTTAAAAAAATCCTTGTTTGATTTTTTTCTTTTTTCCTTTAAATTAATCTGTAGCAAGACTTCCATAGAATAATTGGGTGTTATAAATAACATTTCAGTTCCTGAATATGAGTTGTAATTTTGAAAGACAAGAAAAAATTGTTCTTTAACATTATACATTTTTACTTGTATTTGTAAATTGAATGCCTCTGTTAATGCCCACATGTTTACCTCCAGAAATTTCTGAATATTTCTGAGCATTGAAGTCACAAAAGCAAAAAAGGAAATTCTATATAGAGAGCTTGAGTTAGATATAAAATATGGTGAATTTCATTTGATCTGAGCATCATAAAGCAGTTGCAACAATTAGCTGCATCTCAATATAAGTAGTGAAAAAATAAACAATAAAAATTCAAGAAATAGATTCGTACTGATAAGTAAAGTTTAAAATAGATTCACATTTTTTAAAACCTATTTTCATATTCAGTTCTTCATGGTGTTACTGATACTGTTAATGAGGTTTCTTTAGAATTTATTAAGCTGACTTCAGAATCAGTGATTTCCGCACTTTTTAAATAATAAATTTGAATTATTATAAATGGCATTTAACTGAAAGTGAAAGAACAAAATGTCAACAGTTTACATTAAATAAAGAGGTCTATTATGAAGTTTTACATTTGATGCTGGCATAAAATTTTTCATCTGAGGCTCACTTGATTAAAACAAAAAGTATTACTAAATTATGTAGATTTTAAATTACTATAATTTAAAAAGCAGCCAATCTGCCATTAATCATGAAACTTCCATGACTCTTTTGGTAACAACGAAAAAAGTTGGAAATATCAATCTAACGTTTTTTAAATATGTTGGCATTGCTTTTCAGGTAAGCCAAATATACCTTAAATAATAAAAAATATACTGTACATAATAAGACATTTTACAAAACTAAATTAAGTTCTCAGTGCCGCCACCCAACTTCATGTCCATCTATCATCTGAGGCTCTAAAAATCCTCGAAAACTGGCACCATCTGCTGACCATCGCAGGCCATAACCCTGGTCTTGCCTGGCCTCAATGATAAAGACATCATGAGGCAGCCAGTGTATATTGATCCACACAGCATTGTCCAATATTTTATCCAGTAGTCCTAGAGCATGCTTGTTTTTATCGGCTTCAGTCCCAGTGCAATTACCCCACCATGACTCTGATTGATCCCTGTGAAAATGTTTTGCTAGCGCCCTTGCTCCAACCCACAGCTCACTGTTAGGATTATGTTTGGCTGTAAATGAAGCCATCAGTGCTTTACGTGAAGGCGGTAGCATTTCTTTTGTTCCAACAGTCTTCCTTATTCCTAAGAGATCCAAAATTCCCCTCAGGCCTAAAATTACAAGGATATCACGGATTCTAAATCTAATTTCCTCTTCAGTCCAAATTGACCACAGTGACTGTAAGCCATCTAACAAAGGTGCAATACTTTTTATAGTAGCAGCCCTGATTTCTGCATAGCTTTTCTCATCAAGAAGGTCAAACCTAAAAAAAAAAATGTTAACTCTGATGAAAAAAAAAAAAAAAGACTTTACATAATTCATTTTTTTCATATGCCTGATTACTAGTACGTTACAGAATGCCAGTGAAAGATATATAAGTAACTTGGGTTGTCAACCAACTAATTTTTAGTTCTGTTCAAGCATTTTAAAATATTGAGATTGAAAATGTAAAACTGACATCAATGATAGAGCAAATTGAGGATCAACAGCAAGTTCAACATCTTTAATATTCTAGAGTGTTCTCTACTATTGATCAAAATGCTGGAAGATCAGTGGTGACCATTTTTTTCAAAATCAAACCAGGACATTTGAAAATCTTGGCAAATTAAACTAGGACATTTAAAATCTTTTTGTTGTATGGGTGTCAAATAATAATAAATTATTTGTGATTACATGACAAGCTCTTCTGTCAGTGAAGCGTTCTTTGAAGACAAAATATTATTATGAAGCCAATCTGGATAAATTATGTATCTTTTTGTTGTGTCATTTACTTATGCCTGGATATCAGATGTACTCAATTATTTTTTATAAATTAAAAAAAAATATATACATTTTAAAAATTGTGTAGTCTTAAACTGTATTGGTTTCAAACCAGGACAAAGGTTCAAAAACCAATACTGTCCTGGTAAAAAAAAATGGTCACCTTATCAGCAGCACATCAGAATGGAAGCTGGAAGTCAAATGCCTAAATAAAAGATCCATATGATCCTCTTGCCACAGATAATCTTCAATTAAGAACTGCAACACTAATGGAAAGTGAAAACCATTGCAAAAACATACAGGCTAGATCTTGTCAACACAGTACTGGTACTGAAATGGACTGCCCAGAGAATACAGTATGTAACATCAAAGGAAATAGGAGAAATGAGAAATAATTATTAATTTTTTGTGTGGCTTATTTGTAGCATGATAGGGGCATTCAAGCAGCTCTCCATGACATACATGTAATAACTTAGGGCAGTCATGTTTGAACTTTTAGATAACCAGTGCAGAAAATTCTACCCAAAACTCACTTATTTATAGCAAAGTAACAAAACTGCAATAAAACCTGAATACTGAGGTTCTTATTTAAAAAAAAAAAGATATACTCATGTGCCAATAGAGAGGTCTCTACATGCCCACTGCAGCATCCATGTCATAGGTTTTGCCCCCACTGTCTGGGGGGATTTGAGGTTAAGATTATTTTGACCTGCTGCAATACATTATATTAATATCCCTTCCCAGTTGCAGCCACACACAAAGTATCTAATCCAATTATCCTCATGCTATAATAACGAGGGAGACAGTAATCAAGTTATTAAAAAAAGAAACAAAATCCCTCTACATACACAGGAGCCAGAATGATCAACACAGGAGCCAGAATGATCAACACAGGAGCCAGAATGATCAACACATTGATCGTGGGCCCTTAATACATTGAAAAAAACAACAACAACAAAGAAAAAGGTAAACTTGAACAAATAAAACAAAACAATGAATGTGCCTTCACCTTCTTCTCAGACTAGACAGAGTTTCCAAAAAAAAAAAATTGTTATAGATACATTCATTATGATTCATTTTTCAATCTTTTCTTTTGCAAGTTTCCCTTACTCTGTGTTTCTTATTTCCTCCTCTAACTAGTATGACAAACCTTGGTAAGTCAAGAACAGGACAATGTTTTTCTTCCAGCCACAAGTTCAACATGTTTGCAATTTCACGATAGAGAGGATATGTTGGGTACCCAACAATTGAAGCTCTAGGGCCTTTTTCAAGTGGTTCCTCTTCTTTCAGTAGTATCTGCAAATCTTTCTCTGTTAAAAATGGATCTCTTCTAACAAGTTCCTCCTCCAACACCTGAGAATGAAAATGTTTTCTTTAAAATTTAAAAAGTATAAAATCAAATTTTAAAAATGTGTGAAATAGTAATAGCAATAATAATAATAATAAAGTTTATTTGAAAATCATGCTTCATCCCCAAAGGGTACAAAGTAGACCATATTAAAAGAGAAATGAAAATATCTATATTATACCACATTGAAATACAAAACGCACCATCACAAAAACTACATACGAGAAAACCGATTCTAAGTATTTCATCCCTTGCAACCTTAAAAAACACAGGCCAATATACATCTAGGAGATAATAGCTAGCTTGAAAAGATGGTAGACAACATCACCCAGCAGGTGTTTGCGAAATAAATGTGTTTTCAATTCAGTTTTGAAAGACTCCAGTGTCTGGCTGTTTTTGAGAGCAACAGGAAGCGTGTTCCAAATTGTTGGGCCCGCAAATGCGAAAGTGCGCCTTCCGTAAGTCTCAAGGCAAACACGTGGTATCGAGAGTTTGCCACTATCGGATGAGCGGAGTTGTCTAGTGGGTACATAAGTCATCATGAGCGCTTTGAGATAGGACAGTGCCAGGTCATGCAAGCAGCGGTAGCACAGAGTTGCAATTTTGTACTCTATGCCAGCGCGGACCGCCAGCCAATGCAACTCTCTCAGAAGGGTTTTAGCATGGTCAAATTTGCGTTTGCGAAGAACAATGCGAGCCGCATTATTCTGTGCTTTTTTAATTTTATCCAGGAACCTAGCTGGAAGACCAACCATGAAAGCATTGCAGTATTCCATGCGTGATAGCACGAATGCAGACATCAGTCTCTTTGTTGCATCAAACGTTAAGAAAGGTCTGATATGACTAGGGAAAATAAAACCACATACTTAACATTCACTAGTCTCATTCACCATCAAACAGTGGCACAAAATAGGCATACATTGGCTACATAAGTTACTACTATCACTACAGAACTACTATTATTGAATAAACTAAGAAAGATAATAAAACTACTTATTTTTAATCCATTTAATTTTAATAATACCTGTTTTACATACTGATCCATTTTGAAGCCTGATTCTGACTGCATAATTGTGAAGACCGTGCAGTACTTTTTTTATAGCTGGATTATTATTAAGTCTAAGTTCTTTTCTGACAATCATACAATGAAAAATGATTTATAATTATAGTCTATTTAATTATTAAACAATTTTGTGACTATTGTCAGTATTGACTGTAATTTATTAATAGTACAATGTCTTGGAAACTACAATTTACTATAACTATAATTCATTAATTATGCCTAGGCCCAAGCCCTCTACTTAGAAACATTACCTAGAATTAGGCCTATATATAGTCACTATAGACTATAGAGTAGAGACAGAGTTGCACTCAGTTAGTGCTCTAACTTAAGAAGAGAAGTCTTAAACGTCATATTTGTCTTTTTAATTGTGTCAATGTTTTGGTTTTAGTTTATTTTTCTGGACTGTTCCACTTACCACTGCCAATAGAAGGCCTAGTGTTCACAAATACCAAATTCTAGGTGACTAATTTATAAAGTGTCCTAAGGCAGGCTAAGGCCTAAGACTGCAACTACAACGCCGTTTGTCACAACGGTAATTAATACTATTGACTATTGATAGTTATCCTTTTATTTTTTATATTTTATTTTGTCTTGAAGTCTTGTTTTGTGTATAGTCAGATCAGAATAGTGACTAGTAATTTAATAGTATAGTTAATATTAATAGGCCTAAACAATAGCCACAATATAGAAACTGAAGTTACTAAAATTTGTACAGCGATTATCACCCATTTTATACTTTGATCTGTAGTAGGGGAAATGGTTTTGCAATTATTTACATATCAAAACGTTCTTGATAACAGGTTAACCAAGGGAAATAATCAATAAGAAAGTTTAAAAGTTTGTTTATACGTGGCGACAGCCATTTCCTGTTCCACCCCAAAAGGGTTTCCATTCAGGCTTATTCTTTATATGTATGCCAGATTAAACAACAAATAATTAAAAACTTGTAAATTGAATAATTAAAATATATACGAACTATTATGTTTATTTTTTTAAATAATATTTTTGGCGTACCATAAGCTATTTAAATCACACTGACTGCTATTTTTTACTGACTATAGATTTAGACATATTTTAAATATTGTAAATGAATAATTATAATTATTTGTGAGTAGTAAATAATCATAATTAATTAAATCATCCTTATTTTATTTTGGTTGGTGCATATTTATTAATTATAAACCTAAAGATAATTTATTAATTATTGCATTTTGTTGTTCAATAAAATAATATTTATTTTTCTTTCGGTATTACATAAGTCCTAAGGCTAAGGCAATCACTGCTTAATATCTTGAATTTTAGCATAAATATAATTTTAACTTGCTATCATTGTATTTAAATTGTATTATGTTTTATAACGCATTTATCTAGCATCTAGTTTTAAGGTTCACGTTGAAGTGATACATTTAAAAGTTTAAAAATTCTAAAAAATCTGACATAAATATAATATAGGCGATACCGTACTAAAAAAATAATGAATACAAGTACCAGTGCATGAAAATGGGACCACATAATTTTAAATTTCAGTATCACTTTTCTTCGTTAACATTTTTTAAAAGGCAAAAATAAAAATTTATTTTGAACATTTTAATATAATATTATTGTTCTCTAAGTATATCATATTTTCAAATTAACTATTGAAATAGGTCAATATCTAATTCCGATACCAATGTCTTTGAATTACTTTAGATCGAAGTCGTCCATTAAATGTGAGCTTCACTAATTTCACCTATGCTTAGTTATAACTCAGATGCTTGTGGCTAGTGGCAGCTCGTAACACCCGTGCTGATCACTGATATGCTAGTACGAACCAAAATTAATTTTGAATTTACACCAATTGATATTTTAAGGTAAATAATTATTCTTAGATAAATAAATTATTTCAAGCCTACGAATTTCTTGGCTACTGAGTTGAGATTGTAAATCCAGTTAGACTAAGCGTACCCAGGAAAAAAATGCAAATAAACCAAAACTATTATTAAACTATAAAACATTTTCTAGTCTCCTAACTACATGATATTGATAATAATCTATTATATTCTAAATCCAGCTCTACTGGCAATTAGTTAGCATAAGCTGATTAGCCATAAGCATTTATTTTGACTCATCTGTAGACCCCCTATGCCTATACTTAACTATAGGCGCTATCTGCACCTATTTACACTGGTTCCCTGCTATTTGTACTGTCAGTACTGGGTGCCTTTGCCTTACTTTAGACTAAATCAATCAATCATTTAGTAAATGGCTTTTCGGATGTCATTTGTGTTAATTTTAGTTAAACTGAACAAGTAAGTTTACAAACAAATAGTGTCCATTCAATTATCTTTCATTTAATACCAAATTTTGCCTTACAAATGCAATATTTAAAAAAAAATGTGATAATTTTTTTAATAGACCCAACTATTTTCAATTGAATTTGGCAATTCCACTCACTACTGTACTGCAAAATTACCAGTATAGCCTAATCTAGGTCTAACTAAATTTTTAAGTAAGTTAGTAAGTTAGACTTTGACTTTGAAATGCATGCCAAACTGTAAAAATTTGACATAGACCTGTTAATTTATTATGATGATTAAATCATGATTATTTTAGAGCCATTTGTGTGACAAAAAGTACACAAATAACTATTAGTTTAGGCTTAGGCCTATAACCAGAATCAGATGAAGAAATAATTTTAAATAAAAGGCAATATTAATCCCTTCTTCGCTGTTGGGTACATTAGTTTTCTTTCATTTATCATTCTGGCTCTTGGTTTGAATTCAGAGTTTGCCTTCTCTTAGATGAGTTGCCGCCCAAGGCTAATGAGTCCCATCCACCCGGAGTGCTTGGAATGTTGGCTCCAGACCATCAGCTATTAGGTTTTGAGTCAGTTTAAACCACTTTGCCACCTTAGTCATTTACATAGCCAATGGTGAATTGAATGCACATTATTCATTCAAAGGAAAATCATCTGAAAACAATTGCATGTAATGATTTTTAAAAAAAAAAATAATTACATTATTTTTTTATTTTTTTTGGTGCTATAGTTGTTGTTTTTACTTGAACAATTTCTGCATTCATCTTTATGGTTATACATATCATTCTTATGTTTGATAATAGAAATAATAATCCTACTGATATACACAATTTAACACCCACTAAATATTTATTCACAAGTTCATCATAAATTGCATATAACATATAAGGAAACTAAGGGTTTTGCCTAAGCAATATTCATTACTAATAATTCTTTGAAAAAGTGCCATGGTTAATCTGGCACTGTTTCTAATTCCTAAATATTTGATCCCTAGTCTGGATAAATAACTCCTTGATAACATGCTGTTAAATTGACCTGGATCACAGCATAATTTTCCCAGTGTGCCAAAGAGTGTATGCTTGTACTGTATTGCCAATATCATCATCATGTTCCTTAGTCCTTGAACCATTGGGGCGCCACAGATGACATGTGAACTATCCTCCTACATTTACTTGTCTGCTGCATTCCTTTGATGTTATCTTCCCATCTTTTTCTCTGTCTACTTCTTTTTACTCTCGTTGTGCCCTGCATTATTTCTTTGGCGAGCCCTTGTTTCCTTGTCAGATGGCCATACCATTGCACTGTGCACTTTTTTACAGCCACCAGGAGGTCATCGTACTGCCCAATAGCCTGACGAATCCTTTCTTTCACTTAATCATTGGAGATATAGTCTCGGTAGCAGATGCCAAGAATGCTTTTGAAATATCTTACCTCCATCGCCTTTATTTTCCTTTTAAGTTCTGCTGTTAATGTTCAGGACTCGCAGGCATAAAGGAAAATGGAGAGGACTAATGAGTGCATCAGCCTGATTTTGGTGCTGTGGTGCTATATTTTTGTCGTTGCATATTTTCTTGAGCCTCTTTAGTGCTGTTGTGGTCTGGGCAATCCTGGACATCAATTCGGGCTTGGAGCCTTCTGAGACTATTTCTCCTAGGTATTTGAAACTGCTTACTGTCTCTATTCTTTCCTCCCCGACCTTAATTAATGCCGGTGGTGTTGTTTGTCATCAATTTTGTCTTTTCTGCACTGATTTGCATGTCAAAGGACGATTAAGTCTTGTCGGCGCTTTACTAGGTTGGCTTGCTCTTCTTTGTTCCCATCCAGTCATCCGCAAAGCGTAGGTTGGTGATTGTTCTACCACCAATGGTGACTGTCCCTTCATGTGCTTCAAGAGCATCTGACATACTTCTCTCTAAGAAGATCTTGAACAGGGTGGGGGAGAGCAAGCAGCCTTGTCGTACTCCATCCATGGTCTTGAACCATTCTCCAATGTTATTGTTGAAAAAGACTGCACTGGTGGCCTTATCATAGATGCTGCATATCATTCTGGTTAGGTTTGTGTTGATGTTGTAGTGCCTCATGGTGGCCCTTAAAGCAGCATGCTAAACCCTGTCGAATGCCTTATTGAAATCCACAAAGACATGGTATAGGTTTTGTTGGTGTTGAGCAAAAAACCTTGCTAACATCAAAGGCTGAAATGTCCTGTTGACTTCACTTGCATCGTTAACTCAATCCAAATATTGGTGCAACCCTATTTTTTAACCCTATAACTGTCATAAGGGCCGATGATTGGCCATTATACCACTTTCTGTGGTGTCGCGGCCGTTGGTAAAATCGTCATTAAAACTGAATTGATTTAATGTATATTGTTTAAGTGGAAATCACTCTATAAATGAATTTGCGTCCTCTTTCCGTTACTTTCAGTGTGTTTACATGCTTTTATTAGGGACTTTTTTGTGATTAATCGGGTGTGAACTTTTCTCAATTTTTTTTCACCACCATAATGTCTGATCCAGGGATTTCATAATTAACACAGAATTTGTTTATTGGAATTATTTAAAATATATTAAGATGAAAGCAAAGATATCAGAGATATTCCAAGTGCTAGTAATGTCAAGATAAGAGTCAGATATTGACACTTTTATCCCTTGGTTTAGTTGGATTGTTACAGATACATTCATTTGGGAGAGGGTGGAAATTGAACAGATAAAGACACAGACTTGATCCCAAAGATCTAGCCCTAAGATATTTATGTTTGCATATGTTCTGGAGTATTAATTAATAAAAAATAGATTCAATAACTTCAAGTGATAAGGGATTTTTAAACTCATTTTGTGCCTTTCCCCTTGTATAACATAAATTTGATTTTGAAGGTAGTGAATGAAAAAAATTCACCAATATCACAATTTTCCATATAAGTAACTATAAATTGTCATTTTCTGAAAGAATATTGCTTCTATTATATAAAAAACATGAATTTATGACAGTTTGAACTATTTATGGAGTAGATAGGGTGGGTTAAATTCAGAAATTGAGTAAAGATCAAGGTCAATATCAACATACATAATATAAAAACAAATTCTTTTTATACCATAAAGATACCTTGTCCAATGTACTTTCAGAATGTATTTTTGTAAGGGTCTTTGAATTCATTTAGTCTGGGATTTTTGTCATTTTTGACAAACACATGAAATAGCTAAAAATGGCTTGACGCTACAGATATTTGCTCTTGACAGTTATAGTATAGGGTTAACTTTCTAAAAATCTGGTGCAAACTAATTCACAATATTATGTTTGAATATTGTTGAGTCACATTTTTAACATCTTCATCCACAGGTTGACCTATTCAAAATGTGGAACAGTTCTTCTGATGCTGTTGTTAGGTGACAGTGAGCTCAGTTGGGAGACATAGACCTGCTGGTAGAATAGTTTTGCTTCTTCTGGGGAAAAAAAACACTTTTTTATTCAGTACCTGTGACCTCATTTATCAAACCTCTACCTTTGTGAGCTACGGTATGTCTGTGGATCAGCAAGCTCAAATCAAGGGTGATCAATCTAATATTTGCAATCACAATGCTGCACAACCCAATGTGCAGAATGTATGTACAGTGGATGCAACTGAAGCTGGAAAAGGCTCTGGGGGTGGCTTCAAGTTGTTTTCCTACACAAGAAAGATTGGATCATGGCTAACAAGCATTACAGAAGGGGAGAAAATTGATGTATCTAGGAAAGATCTGAATGCCATTGCTCCTGTTTCTTTTTAAAAACTTACTTTTTGAAAATGTAACCCATCATTTATACCGTTATATTTTGTTACTAACAGCTGTTGTCCAGGAAAGACAACACAAGCAAGCAGATGAGTTTAAAAATTGTTTACAGTTCATGGATAAAGGTATATTCATTTCAGGACAAATGCTTATGGTTACAAAGGGATGCACCTCACTAAATATGAATATCTAAAATAATAATCAGATGTCGAGACAGTGTAATTTGTTTAACTTCAAGTTATTCAACAAAAAGCTTGCTACCGGAATGATTGTGAAATTGATGGCACTAGGCACATTTGATAAACTCAGTTTAAAAGGTCCATGTCTGGTTTTCTTTAAATCAGTTTGACAGCATAGGTTTAAATTCATATACCAAATACCAGTAATCTGAGAGATTAATCAACCTAAAAGAAAATCCATGAAAACTTGCAAAAGTAATTATATCGTATTTATATTATTTGTTTTCACTATTTTTGTGTAATTGACAAGTTCTAAATTTCATTTAGTAGTTATTATTCCGTGGCTTCACACTACATATTAAATAGCAAAATGATCATGTTGCTTTGTGCATTCTTAAAACTGATGCTTTTCCCCCCTCTAATAATACCAAAATGTTATGTCCTGTTGTCCAGGTGCACGTTACTAAATACCTAAATGTCATGTTTTGTCAATGTGTAAGTTAATTTCTAAATCTGTAAGGTCATGTATTTACTGTTGTCACCTGCTCTACACTACGGTATAACAATGTAATGTTTATGACATTGAAAGCCTCTAATTTGATCATTTTATACATTTTGAATTCATTCATCTTAAATATTTTGTTTTATCAAATACAGACGATCTGGTCTCATATTTTCATGAATTATATTAATTTGCAACTGCATTATTGTGTAAATCTACATGACTAGTCTAGGTTTGAAAGCCAAAAATAAAAAAAAAACGTGTTTATCAGATAAATGATATATTAATTTCAATGTCAGTGACTTGGTGGTGTAAATATTTAAACGAACTGGCAGCGAAATTCATGACATGTCTTCTAAAATGTACAAAGTTTATGAGGTCTGATTAAATAAATAAAACCAGATCTGCATTTAATACCTCAAATTGTCCCAGGTTCTCTCCTTACATGGGGTTTCTCTAGTAATTTATTTTGTACATTCATGACTGTTGTGATGCAAGAAATAAAACAATGCAAGATATTGAGATTGTTTTGTTTATTTAGTTTTTATTATATGGTACCAGCATGTGCATTAATATGCAGCACAAATAACATTAAACATTTTTTTTTAAAATGGCGAACGGGGAAAAGGCCGATCAGTTATAAATATCCTTGATATTACTAGTCCAGTAGTGTCTAGAAATAAACTATGTTTTCAGTTTAAAATTTAAAATATCTTTTTATATAAAGCAGTGGTTCAAAGTGGGTATGGTGATCGAAATTATTTTTGGTGAAATTAGGGTAAATTCAGCCAAAAAATGTGAAGGCCAAATTATTTTAAGTTTAAGTAATATTGTTATAAAAGAAAAATGAGTGTCAACATTGTGTTTGGTGGACTACGGTTTTAAGGCTATCCAAGTTTGCTTCAAGAAATGCAGTGACCATGAAACATGGTAGTCCCAGGGGCGATGGCTGGGAAAAATTCTGATACCCATATAAATTGCATATATATTATATATATATATATATATAGAGAGAGAGAAATTCCTTCCATACTTCCATGAATTGGTAACAATAGGTTATCAATGATATGTATCATACTTGTATTTATATAAACCTGTGATATATCTAAAAAATACATGACTAACGAATTGATTTGCAATACAAACAATACATTTACTTTAGGACCATGCAGATCTATGGTTATAATTCTGGAAGTATGCAGGTAAGAGTTGAATTAAAGTTAAATATACCGTACAAGTATTTCTTAGTTGTAGTTGTCGATACCATAATTTAAAAAAATAATTTTTTAACCTTAATGACAGGTCTTTGAAAAAAAAAATTCTGAAACTGAAATTATTGAAACTTCTCTGGTCAAATTAAAATGTTATCAATTACCGGGTACTGAATAATAAAAGCTGGGATCCAGGCACAAAAAGCTCTATTGTGCAGGTACACAAGTGCAAGAAACAATAACACTCAAAATAAACGTTGTCCATTACAGGGTACTGGTACTCTTACAGTTACAGTGTAGTGTTTCTAAAAAATAGATATTTAGAAATTTAGTACTGTACTAATGTCTAAACTGTATTTCTTTACAACTGATTAAACTTTACAATCAGAGTACTCGGTAATATTATAGTTATAGATTCAGTAATATTACAGACACACTTAGAGTGTTGTTTACTGGTATTTAAAAGTTGGCTTCGTCAAGCCACAATTTTTACATGATAAAGTTACAAAAAGATAAATATTTATTGAAATATATATACTGTAACATGGAGCCTTTATACCTGTACTTATCTTAACATTATCTAGAACAGCATGGTAAATGAGAACATTCAAATTGCCATTAATTCCTATGAATTAAGATCACTTGTATAAGTTATAATTATTGTCTGCATTAATCAAGGTCTTCACTCTCTCTGTCTGAATCACCATCACTGAGCTCCAGATCACTGAGGTCAACGTTCTCTGAAATGAGGTCAAGGAGAACCAATTAATACTTGAACCTAAATATGAAATATACTATTAGATCAAAATGAATTAAACAGAAAACTAAACATTTGACACAGAATGCTGAAACATATTGTAAAAGGCTTTAAACTATTCTGCCTGTCCTGTTATGTTTTATATAGACTAGCATCCATAAATATTTTGTGCTTTACCATAACTAAAAGAGAAATTTTTATAATCACAAGTTACCAGGGACAGAAGAAAATCTACCGGTTCAATGCAATACCTTTTGTTCTATAGTATGGTTCGATCATTCTCTTAGAGTTAGAGCGAGTATTTCTTTTAAATTTCTTCCTTGATGAAGTCTCAAACCTAGATCTATAGCTGAAATCATCCAATAGCTCTGAGCTTTCCTCATCACTCAAGCTGCTAAGGCTCGACAAATCTGACAGACTCTGGTCACCGTTGACATCACTCAAGCTTAGTGTTGGGTGTTGTCTTTGTTCTGATACATATGGGAGGCCTGTTGTCCCTGTTATATGTTATAAAAAAAGAAGGATCTTTATTTTTAGTTTAAACATTTCAAAATGTTAAATTCTTAAAATTGATTTTATAAATATAATATAAACTAGATGTAGCCCGCCAAACATTGGCGACAGCAAAGCATGAACTTCCTATCAGTTAAAGTTACCGGTACCGTACTAGATAAAACATGAACTCGAGTAACGCACGTTTAAGGATCCCAATTTTTGATACACCCCTTCCCCCCATGATACGTCACTGCACACTTTTTATTTCACGCCCATGAACTATATTAAATATTCTGATGTCCCAACCACTTTTAAACCAAATATTTTTTACAACATACTTAAATTGAGACGATTTCATTTTCCGAAAAGAAAATATTACGCGCCTACTAATTATTGAACCATACTTTCTTTCAAACACTTGTAATTCTTAATACTAAATACGCTGAATAGGAAGCAGCTACAAATAGAAGCAGTCCACGAGTCACACCAGAAGTGTAATATATATAAGAGATTATTAAAAATTTTGTGATAGACATATTAAAGTTAAAAAGATATTTTCTTACTCAACTTACTGGAGTGATAAAATGAATGAGCTAAAGGTGCTTCTATTCTCTTCTCAAGACTATCAAGCTTGGAATTTATAGAGTTTATGGCCAATCTGAAAAAAAAGTTTTTTTAAGCGTAATGAAAGTCAATTGTAATTGTATTTGTATTAATCAAATATAAATATGGACAGATGGGAGTATAAAGAAACAAATTACTTGAAATGAGGTCACTACAATTTATAATAATCTGTGTAGAATTTACAAAATGTAAGTCATATAAACCAAAATTTACTGACAGTATAAGATCTTTTTTGCACTGATTTTACATTATATATAATCGACTCGTTCTAAAGCCCATTCATTCATAAGCCAAATACCATAGTTTTGGCCAGGAAAACCTGAAAAGTATAACCTGTTCATAAGCTGACTCCATAAAATAATATGCTAGTGTACAGTTAAAGCAATCTGGTAACAGACTTTTTTTTTTAAAATATAGACCCAAAAAAATAAATTAAAAAAAAATAACATTAACATATACAGGTAAATACAAGACATAAAAACTAATGAAATCAGAAGTATAAGGCTGGTACTCTGGCTTCAATACCCATGTCTAACTATATTGTTAGCATAGCCTGCTGAACATTTACAAAAATAGATGACTGCTGCTTGGAAAGAAATATCTCATAGCTTTGTCTTTGCATGCGTGTATATATTCTGTTAAAAATATCAATTAATATATTTGCATATGTGTAGATTGCAATATTATAGTCTGGAAAATAGTGCTTGTACTAAGTTGTACCAAACAGTATCAAAGGAGAGTTGTCCAGACCTGTCTAAAAATAGATTTAACTGCTGCTGAGATCTTATAAAATTTGACAATCCAATATTTCATTATTTCAAGTACCAGTACCGGTAGGCACTTAGACACTCTCTCAGAACAGTCAATTATGGCAGTCGCAAAAATTAGTACAAAACCTGTGACTCAATTTGCTAATAGCTTTATGGTGACTTCAGTTAATTACTTTTTTCGTCTTTTCAAAAATAATTTATCAATGTACCTAGATAATATTATAAAAATTTCCTTTGACCCGCTCATAATATTTCGTCAGTGGGGATATTCCTTGAAATTTAGAACAAGTAAATATGGTAAAATAAAATCTGAAAACAAATTGTTGCTTGAAAAGAGATGCGACTTAGATAGAAAATTTCATTATTGCTCTAGCAACATACAACATTTTTAAGATACTGCTATTTGATGTAAGAATTTTTCTTTATTTTATTTTTGTATTTAAAAAGAAAAGATAAATACCATACAATAAACATACTTAGTTTTTCTTGTCATGATAAAAATACATTGTAAAATTTGTTGTTGAATATTTGAAATATTTTATTGTTTTTTGCTCAGATTGGAAACATATTTTTTAATTTTTTTTAAAAATTATATGAAAATGATCTCCCATATTCTATAAAAATATAGCTATTCATAATTAGTAATAACTATACACTGAAAATAACCTTAGTTTCTGCAGTTCAAGACAGCTGGGATCAGCACTGATAGACACTGGTGAATACAATGGTGGAAATCTTTGGTGCTGAAAGGAGTTTTGAAGTTTCTGTAATAAAAATAAAGTTCTCTTTTTAAATTCATGAATAAGTTATATTGACTTTTTACAATTGATTGCATTTCTTTTGTTGGCATGGTGCCATCTTCGTGAGATGATGGAGTAGCTTCTGTATTACTTGCACTTCCTTGAGGCAAATCCTGGAATGGCAATATTGGCTGATTCTGTAATGGAGTTCTCAACTGAACTACTCTTCCTGGTAGTAACTGAGCATCATTCATTTCAGTAGTCAATGGGCATCAATTAGTTTAACAATCAGTGGGCATACTTTATTTTAGTAGTCCGTTGAAATCCATTTTTTTTAAAAAGTCAGTGGGCATCATTTATTCAGGAGCCAGTGGACATCATTTATTCAAGGGGTCTTCAACCTGGAACACCTGGGTACTTGGCTAGTAGCAACAAATATGGAACCAACCATTGATTATCTTATTTGAAAGAATATTAATTTTATGTAGGATATATTTTTTCATCATTTTCAATGTTATTGTTTTTTCAAGTTGTTTTCTTCACTACAAACGAACTATGTGCAGTGTGCATAGAATTCATTCACATTTTTTTCAAATTATAGTTCCGCTTCTAACAATGTCTTATTGACACAAATCCAGCCCTCAAATTCGTCTGAGGACACTGATTTGGCCCCTTGTTTAAAAAGTTCGAGAGCTCTTAATTTGATCACTAGTCAGTGGGCATCATTTAGTCAGTATTCAGTGGGAATCTTGTAGGCAGTGGGCATCATGTGGGTATGATCCCCATTTATTCCATATTCTTGGGGAAAGAAACGTTTCTCAATTAGATACAGAAGTATTTCTAAGTCAATCACAGTACCGTATTTATAAAGCTGCTTGTTGTGAGCTCATATGATGATAGAAATCACTTTCCATTTAAAATAGAGTCAAACTTTAACAAACAAACTGGCTTTTTCCATGGGTAATCTGCTTTGTTTTTCAAAGACACTGAACAGTTACATGTACTTGTAATACTAGTACTAGTACATAAAATTAACAGTGACCAATTTAACAAATTTTTATACATGTGCACAGATGAAGAAATATTTTTTTTAAATATTAGTTTTAGTCATCTGTCAATTGAAATATGGGAAATTTTCAAATAAGCAATTATTTTCGATTTATGGAAGGTGGTTGTTTTTGCACCATGAAAATTTTTTTAGTGGATTGGGTGATAAAATTATTTTCAGAAACAGTGGCAGCTAGCCTGATGAAGGAAGAGCTCATTCAACTTTAAATACTTTTTTTTTTAATCTGAAGCCAAAGTTTAAGAACTTATACCAAGAGTTTAGCTACAGAATGAAATTAAATACTGCTATCTTTCCTTGGGGAAACTGTAAAGAAACAACATTATGGTTTTCCAACAAAGTGTTTATTCTTGGAAGGATTCAGCGTGGTTTTCCAACTTTGTTGCATGTCAAAGAAATAAACTCGAGATTTCTGAGCATTGTAAATTTAGAGTCCTACTAAAGAACTTTGAAAGAGACATTTATAAAACCAGCATTACTTCACCAAGCCCTTCCAGGGCTTTATCAAAAATTATTTCTCTCTGTAATTATCCTATTTTTAAAAGCTCCCATCAGTGTAGAAAAATGATTTTTGAGAATCACTGTACTGTATTGAAAATAAGTAGAATTTATTTTTTTTTAAAATAAGTCTCTAATTATCTCCATACAAAACAGGTAAGGGGCCATCAATAAATGCTATCATGCTATTTTAACTCCCTTCCCCTTAGATGTGAGATGTCGTTTATGGATGGCCCGTAATTTTTGGACGGCCCCTAAGCTAATTCTTGTAAATACTCAAGCTTTCAGTCACTAACCACAATTTTAAATACACTAATAACACAATACCAAAATAAGCAAATGACGCATTTTATAGCTATCAGTAGTAGAGACTTATTCAGCTAATGATTGTAAAAACTTACTCTGCTAATGCTTTCCTTTCTGTCAAATGAGCTAGGAGAATGATGACTTTCTAGATTTAGTCTTTCTAAAAGCAAAGAAATAATAATCAAAATTATTTACTAAAATATCTAAAATAAAGTTGTCTAACTGGCTGAAGCTTGCTTTCAAAAATGTCTAAGGTGTCACCTGCAGGGTGTTGGTGTGTCATGCAAAAATGAGTCATACTAAGATTCAAACATTTTTTAACACTTAAAAAAGCTGGAAATGATTTGAGAAAAGTTATTGACAAACCTGTGCAAAATGGTAAGTTATAATAAAAGCAGACCTTTTATTTTTATGTCTGTGAATAACTTTATTGGCTCTGATGAGGTCGGGGTGGGGGGGGGGGGGGGGGGGGGGGGGCTTTGTCGTGCATATTTATTGAGGGAAATGATTAGGAAAATGAATTTTGTGATTTGATTAAAATTAAAATATGTGCACAAAATTGCCATTTCTGGATCTTCCTGATATATTTGAATATTCAAATAAAATAAACACTCGCATGCAAGGAAAAGACAAAAATATGTGCAGAGTATCAAATTTGTGACATGTGAGACAAGAAAGTGATTTGAAAATGGAAAGAGACAGAATAAGATTTTTCCAAAACAGCTGAGTGCAAGCTGAAATGTGCTATGATAGTTGCATGGCTGTTTGTGGACCATTAGATATTGCTATGACACTAATGTTCTATGAACTCTTCAGAGGGGAAACAACAAGCTGGTGGGAAGAAATATTGCTTCAAGGACTGTCTAAAAGCTTCATTCAAATCAATGGACATTGACCTTCATTTGTGGGAGACACGTGATATGGATCGTACAAGCTGGCAAGGCAGACTTCATGTTGGAGCACGATCCTCTGAGATTAAGTGCACAGCTCACGCCCAAAGAAAGTGCACAGCAAGGAAACGGAGAATCAACTCCAATCAAACGGGGACCCAAAAGCTTGTGTCATATTTGCGGGAAAGCTTTCCAGGCACAAATAGAACTGACATGCCACCTGCGAATCCACCATTGAAAATAGCATTGGTCACGTTCGCATGTGAATAACGAACAACAACAACACTTTTCATATGTCTTATAATGTGATAACAGCAGGCACTAATTGTGGACCATTTGACATAGCTACAAGAGAAAGGTCATATTTGGTTCCCAAATGCTAAAATCCAAAATAGTGAGACAACATTTATGGATTAGAATTAGAAACAATGATTACATCTGTATGCAGTTGGCAATCTATTGTTTAAAAAAGCACAGCTTAAAATTATTTAGATATATGATATTTAGCTGATGTCAAATACAACTGAGTCAACTATAACTGAGTTAAAATTAACCGAGTCAACTACAATTGAGTCAACTACAACTGAGTCAACTACAATTGAGTCAACTATAACTGTGTCAACTATAACTGTGTCAACTGTAACTGAATCAACTATAATGAGTCAACTATAACTGTGTCAACTATAACTGTGTCAACTATAACTGTGTCAACTATAACTGTGTCAACTGTAACTGAGTCAACTATAACTGTGTCAACTATAACTGTGTCAACTGTAACTGAGTCAACTACAACTGAGTCAACTACAACTGAGTCAACTATAACTGTGTCAACTGTATACTGAGTCAACTATAATGAGTCAACTATAACTTAGTCAACTACAAGCAAGTCAACTACAACTGAGTCAACTACAATTGAGTCAACTATAACTGTGTCAATTATAACTGTGTCAACTGTAACTGAGTCAACTATAATTAGTCAAATATAACTGAGTCAACTACAACTGAGTGAACTACAATTGAGTCAACTATAACTGTGTCAACTGTAACTGAGACAACTGTAACTGAGTCAACTATAATGAGTCAACTATAACTGAGTCAACTATAATGAGTTAACTACAATTGAGTCAACTATAACTGTGTCAGCTGTAACTGAGTCAACTATAATAAGTCAACAATAACTGAGTCAACTACAATTGAGTCAACTATAACTGTGTTAACTGTAACTGAGTCAACTATAATGAGTCAACTATAATGAGTCAATTATAACTGAGTCAACTATAACTGTGTCAACTATAACTGTGTCAACTATAACTAAGTCAACTATAACTAAGTCAACTATAACTGTGTCAAGTATAACTGAGTCAACTATAATTTGCTTTTCTTTAAAGCTGAACCAAAAAATTTCGAGAAAAATAAGTGTGAAAATGTCATTGGTGTAAAGGGTAGATGGGGTAGAGATTAGATGCCATGTGAAAGGGTAGAGGGGCGTAGAGATTAGATGGCATGTGTAGGGTAGCTGGGGTTAGAGATTAGATGCCATGTGAAAGGTTGCAGGGGTTAGAGATTAGATGGCATCATGAAAAGTTTTTTAAATAAAGTTTATTACCTATTTTCTTATTCATTGCACTTAGTTCTTGTCTTATTTGGCCAAGACTGTCTGTCATATTCTCCTTCCTAAATGAAATATAATTTGAACACTATTATTATGAGAAATACTTTCAAATACTAACTACTGAAAAGTTACATAAGTATAGGAGGCCACAGTTCATATCCTTTTTAAATTACTAGTCCACAACAATCTCTAAATGAAGGATTAACATTTAATGAGAAGTTTGATTTGTCAGTGTACTTTGCCAAGTTATATTTTTTAGTTTGCTTCTGAATTTTAAGTTTTTCTGTTAAGTACTGAACCAGCCTTGCTGGGCTTGTTTAATAATTAATATACATAAGTAAAATAAAAGGAAAAAAAATTACGCTTTCCACAAGTCCTTATCATAAGCTGATGAGGCTGAATCTCTAGTGCAGTCTTGTAGCATATATTTGACTTTTTCAATCTCTCGCATCACATCCCTTTTCATGCTGGACATTTTCCATTCACTATTTGTTAATGTGAGGGATGTGTTCATCTTATCAGTCAGTGAATCTACTTTGTCTTAGAGAAAACAAGATAGATTTTTCAATGATGTACTTCCAGTTACAGTTACACTTTCAAATAAGACATTTACTACAGGCTAGTGCACAGCAAGGAAACGGGGAATCTACTCCAATCAAACGGGGACCTGTTTTATCCAGTGACTAACTTAAATAAAATATACTAAATGTCTTTTACAAAGCATTCATGCAATACAAAAAGTATTGCCTGTATTAGTGAGAGGCAAATTATTTATATTAGATTAGATGGATTATATTATAAGTTTAAAAACTTTTGCTGCAGCCTTTTTAAAATGATTCTAATAAACCTGGTTCATTGAAGGAACATGAGGATGTAGTTCCTGTAGTCAAGGTGCTTATTACTTTGTTTGAGACAAAGCTTCCAACCTAAACATTGTTCAACTTTCTTAACTGATATAAGTCCACCAAAAGTCAGGCTTTATAAAAAATGTGTCACTTCCAAATGAAAACAGATAAACAATATTTGCTTGCAATTTTGTGTGACCTGGAAATTATTTTCATCACCTTACCTTTTAAATTAGCAATTTGTTGCTTGTAAAAATCTCTCTCATTGTCAAGGGATCGTATTAACTTTTGTAGCTTCTCTATAGTCTGTAAATTATAGTATTATATGAACTTAAAACACATTGCCATTCCAACGATTACTGGTTCATAGTTTGTTGAATACTTCCTTATTAAAAATAGCCTTAACAATAAAAATACTTTGCAACAGTAAAACAAGTTCAGATATTCATTCAGAAGGTTTATTCATCACACCATTCGAAATAAAAGTATTAGTGTTTCTAATGCATTTTCTAGTGTAAAGATTTCTCAACTGTCAATACACAATCACTAATCCATATTAAATCATTAAATAATAAGGGAGACTCTCTGTGGTTGCCTTATCATAATACTGAGTGGCAATGCCTACATTTCAAGTTTAAAGAAAATAGTTTAATTCATACATTCTATAATAAAACAGATAATTGAATTAGTTTAAAATGATTATTAAAATATTGCTGCACATAAGAAAATAATTAAATAAAAAACACATTTATTTATGAATCGGAGGCTGGTTTCAAGGGATGTATAGGGAAATCTGGAATCCATCATCACCTTAAGAAAACCCCTCCATCATCACCTTAAGAAAACCCCTCCATAATCATCTTAAGAAAACCCCTCCATAATCATCTTAAGAAAACCCCTCCATAATCACCTTAAGAAAACCCCTCCATAATCATCTTAAGAAAACCCCTCCATAATCACCTTAAGAAAACCCCTCCATAATCATCTTAAGAAAACCCCTCCATAATCACCTTAAGAAAACCCCTCCATAATCACCTTAAGAAAACCCCTCCATAATCATCCTAAGAAAACCCCTCCATAATCAACTTAAGAAAACCCCTCCATAATCATCTTAAGAAAACCCCTCCATAATCATCTTAAGAAAACCCCTCCATAATCATCTTAAGAAAACCCCTCCATAATCACCTTAAGAAAACCCCTCCATAATCACCTCAAGAAAACCCCTCCATAATCATCTTAAGAAAACCCCTCCATAATCACCTTAAGAAAACCCCTCCATAATCATCTTAAGAAAACCCCTCCATCATCACCTTAAAAAACCCTTCCATAATCATCTTAAGAAAACCCCTCCATAATCACCTTAAAAAACCCCTCCATAATCATCTTAAGAAAACCCCTCCATAATCACCTTAAGAAAACCCCTCCATAATCATCTTAAGAAAACCCCTCCATCATCACCTTAAAAAACCCCTCCATAATCATCTTAAGAAAACCCCTCTATAATCACCTTAAGAAAACCCCTCCATAATCACCTTAAGAAAACCCCTCCATAATCATCTTAAGAAAACCCCTCCATAATCACCTTAAGAAAACCCCTCCATCATCACCTTAAGAAAACCCCTCCATAATCACCTTAAGAAAACCCCTCCATAATCATCTTAAGAAAACCCCTCCATCATCACCTTAAGAAAACCCCTCCATAATCATCTTAAGAAAACCCCTCCATAATCACCTTAAGAAAACCCCTCCATAATCATCTTAAGAAAACCCCTCCATAATCATCTTAAGAAAACCCCTCCATAATCACCTTAAGAAAACCCCTCCATAATCACCTTAAGAAAACCCCTCCATAATCATCTTAAGAAAACCCCTCCATAATCATCTTAAGAAAACCCCTCCATAATCATCTTAAGAAAACCCCTCCATCATCACCTTAAGGAAACCCCTTCATTATCACCTTAAGAAAACACCTCCACAAATTCCAAGTTGGAAGAACCTGAAAGATCAAACAAGCAGCCTTCCCACGGCCTAAAAAAACTAGATATATAAATAATATAGCATGTTTTCTGTTGTAACATAGTCAGAAAATATTTAAGATCAAGGTAACTAGCATTGTGCAGTTTACGTTGTTTGCCCCTTATCATGGTTAAGGTTAAATCTTGACATTTCTATTGTCATACTCATTCACAATAACTACGGTACCTTATTCTGAGAGTCTATTTGTTCTTTCATGTGAAGCATTTGAGTTAAACTCATTTCTGTAATCTCTGCTTGGGGTGTCAAGGTGTAATATTTCAAGAGCGAACTATCTGATGATACAGTGCCACTGGGTTTGTAGTATGGTGCCGACAGCCAAGGATATGCAGCAATACTACTATTGGGTAAAGTGAAGCTTTTTCCACTAATGCCAGTAAGCTTGTCCTGTGGAAAATATAAAAATCTGCTGAACAATATGTTTTCTTCTGAGAAAATGTGTGGTAGGTGAAACTAGTTATGTGGCCTACATATAAATATGGCTGACAGAAAAATATCATCAAAAAACTACATTCAATTTATTCCTTCTTTAATAATATATGAAATTAATTACATTTAATTGATTTTAAAATTGATTTTATGTCATTTAAATTCATGGTTGTCATTTTAAAGAAATATTATCACAAAGCAAAATTTTATTTTAAGTTTAAAGCCGAAGTACCGGACCCCTTGTCCAAAGGTTGCATGCAGACATTTAAGAAGATGAATGCAAAGGCAATGCTTTGGAAAGTAGAATTAATCCACACTTTTGAGTTTAATTGAGAATACACCCGCAAAATTAATTTAGCTAATTACTAATATAATAAATATTCTAAATACAGTAATGTCAAGTAAAATTATAATCCAGATAAATAATAATACTTTTCATGATTAAAAATTAGTCTGTGTAAAATAGTTAGACAATACATATAACCAGTGGCGTATCTAGGGGGCTGCGGACCGCATCGGGTGACACCATCTCAGGGGGTGACACCAAATAAAAAAACTGCATAATCCACACTTTTGAGTTTAATAGAGAATACACCCGCAATATTAATTTAGCTAATTACTAATATATTCTAAATACAATAATTTCAAGTAAAATTATAATTCAGATAAATAATAATACTTTTCATTATTAAAAATAATTAGTCTTAGTAAAATAGTTAGACAATACATATAACCAGTGGCGTATCTAGGGGGGTGCGGACCACATCGGGTGACATTATCTCAGGGGGTGACACCAAATTAAAAAACTGCATATTTACAGAGCAAAAACTGTTTTGTCTAGCCAAATTTTTCAAAAAAAGATAACCGATAATATGTAAATTTTTCACACATGTAAGCAATTCAAATGCATGCTTTAGCAAAAGTTCAAGGTACAGGAGTAAAAAATTAGGTGACCCTATAATTAGGTCAGAAAAAAAACAGCTTTGACTGTGATTCAACGACGATTGAAGTGTTTCCTAACTTTCGTAAGTGACAGGAAGCTATATTTATCTCATTTCCAAGAAAGCTTTCCATTGATACCAAATACGATGTGGTCGGGCAATTCTAATGACATGTTACAGTTCTTACATACATTTACCTCCAGACCCTCAATTGATTTGTTTTTGTTCTTGTCATTGTTATATCAAGGAGTTATTTAAAAAGAAGAAATCCATCGTGGAAGTCGGGGTGAGGGGGTGACACCATGAGTTTACCGCACCTGGTGACACCAACCCTAGCTTGCTATGCCACTGCATTTAACTAATACTAATTTCAATTGCCAAGCAAATTAAATAACATTTATACTGTTTGGATATAATGCATTTGAATTTTAGCCATTTTACAGTTTATGAGAACTTATACTGTAAAGCCTACTACTATTTAAAAAAAATTATGTATTGACTTCATTTTACAAAGTAAATGGTAGAAGGATAATTAATAATATAAGGTTTGGAATCTGGTAAATCTCAAATACACTACAAAAATACACACTATTACATAAGTAGATCTGGTGCTATCAAAGCCTTAAAGTTCTAAAATCAATAGATTTGAGCTGGTAATACATTTATGGCATTTAAAAGTTAAGGGTTTTTATCCCAGTATTCAGGAATTTCAAGATTTTGTTACCAGACATATTAAGCAAGTAAACATTTGTTAAATAAACATTGATACCTTTGCCTTTGATAAGTTAGCCTCTGTTTCTTGTACAATGGAATAGAACTTATTTTCCCAATCCATTTGAAACTTGTCAAACAATCTACTTTTCTGTTTTGGTCATCTATATAAAAAAAAAGGTACAAAAAAAATTCTTAGTTTATTCAGCCAGTCCCTTAAATTTATTACAATTTATAATCCTTCCTCCTGGACTTGAATTATGCATTGAAGAACAGATTTAGATAGATGTTTTATACATTAAAAGTTTCAAAACACAGCATAGAGTGACCATAGACCCACTAAAGCTTACAAATGTTTTGCAGTAAAAGGTGTGAGTATAAGTTAAGAGATGGCGAATTGTCTAATGATTACAAGCCAATGTCAATTTCTGCTAATCCGTATCTGTCATTTGTAAGTTCCTAGAAATAGTGGGGATAAAAAACAGAAGCTCCAACCTAAGAGGCTTTCTTGATTCTTGAGGCCCTTGAAACTTAAAGTGGAGGGGGAATGTAAAAAAAAAAGGTCACCCAAAAACTAAACAAGCTGATCAAAAGCAATGTGTTTGTGTAAAGACAGGAAGTTTGAGAATCTGCAATGGGTTCTAAATCTCTAAAACATGCAGGCCAATGAAAGAGTGGACATGATGGCAAAAACCGGGGCTACCCAGTCTCAACCAGAAACACCCATCATTTATCTCAGTTTTAAAAACTGGCTGGCAGACCACAATTTAGAACAAAGTGGTATGGAGAGTGGGCAGACAGAGTCTGGTAACGCAAATGTGGATGAACAATTGCCCTACTAAAGATTAAAAAGCTAGACAAAAACAGGAACCTGTCTTGTCTACATTGCAACCTGGCCCAAAAGACAGTAGTGCACCTGCTGAATTCTTGACCCCAGCTTGACGGGGAGGCCAGGGTGGCGGGAGAGTCCTTCATTAAGAGAATGATGAAAAAAATGAAAAAGGAGGACATTTCCTATTGAAAAGGTCAGAAGAGGAGAATATCTTATTTTGAAAGGAGAAAATTTTAACCCACTTGAGACAGCTGGGCCAATCTATCGGTATATGATATCGATTTAAGAAATGTAGGCTATCCATCTTCAATTCTGTTTCACAGCAACCGGAAATATGATTCTAAGAGATTCACAATTTCCAGCATTGAGTCATTGAGTTCTATTCTTGCTGCACAGATTCCAAGTTGGCTTGAAATACAAACAATATAGAATGTGTCCTACTTTTGGATAACATCTGGCAAACCTAGTCTAGTGATTCTACAACGATCACTTGACTACTAAGCTGCAAAGCATGACTCAAAAAGTCTAACTAAGCTAGGGTGACCAAATCATAAACTTGAAAAAACGGGACTCAAGGAGGGTTTTGGGGAGATACCCTCCAGCTAAAGATGGGTCCAAAAGGGGGGGGGGGGGGGGGGCCTCCGCCGGAAACTGTTTATTGAAATATGCTCAAATTAAATATTTTGATACCTAGAATAGAAATCTATTTAAATTTACCTCCACTTTTGTGATTTTAATTTAAACTCTGAGGCATATCATAAACGAAAACAAGCATTTTGCAGTGAATACTTATTTATTTATACATATTTTACAACATATTACTATTACAACACATCAAATTAAATGCAGCCATCACGCAAGCCCTCATCTGGCACTGGCTGCACACTACACAGTGAGTACAGTTGAGTACAGCTAGCCAAAATATTACTTGAAGTTATATAATAAATTAGGAAGTTTTAGTGATTTGAAAATGTGTTTGATTTTAGAAACGGGACATTTAGGCGTCCCGAGAGACTTTTTCGGGATACCGGGTACGATCGTGAAAAAACGGGACAATTCAACGGGCCGTTGGTCACCCTTGGCCCTCAACTCTAAACTTAACTAAGTTAACTAAGCCAAATTAATTTACAATTTAAAATTAAAAGTCAAGTCACTCGAGTGAGCCAGTATCAATGACTGGCCCAGCCATTTTATTATCCCATTTTTTGTAGACTGTAAACAATTTGTAAATATCCTAACAAATAAAACTGAATATGAATATGATATGTTTGGTTTGACTTACGACTACGACGCTTTAGTAGCGTATTTAGAATTCTGTAAGTTTATTAGCTCCCCCTGTCGCTAATCACTCATGGTAATGGCTCCGTTCATTAACCGAAAAAAGTAATATGGGGAGGGGGGTATTAGTATTACATTTTACACCTGGAACTTAAATGTCAGAAAATGAAAAAACTAAATTAATCACAACTATCATGAATTATAAAGCAAAAAATATATCAAATCATTAGATAAGAAAATAATTAGAAAAAAAAAATGATTTGAAGACGAAAGGAATCATTATTCCTCTTACTCTTATATTTCAAAAGTTTAACAATGATCTATATTTACGTAAACTGCACTTTCGCTTTTCTATTTCCGTTATTCACCGGATTAAAGTTTGGTTAAGTTAAAAGCAAAAGCTTTAAGAACTAAGACAAAGTTTAAGCACATACATGATGGCTGTAATATCAATTATATGGTTTCTGGTTTAAATAACATGTTTTGAAATTTTATGAAACCTAACCTAACATTGATTTTTTTACATTTATTGGTAAGCCTAATCAAGTTTATTATTAGTTATTAGGCTAACGTAGTAGTAGTAGTAGTAGTAGTAGTAGTAGTAACTACTGACTAAAGCCTGATCATGATCAACACCCAAGGTCACAAAATCAAAATATTATTAATTTAAACTATGGCTCTCATCTAAACGCTGCTCCCAAATGTCAAATTAAATACTTTTCGTTAGAAAGTGCAAGACAGTCCCGACAATTGGTGGCAAATTAGAGTGAGCATGCCATAAAAAAATAAGGACCCGGGTATGCATAGCCGCTACGGCAGTGGCGCTATTCGGACCCAGGTCCCTTTAGACTAAATCCCATTCGGATGTCATTTGTGGTAGTTTATTTTAGTTAAACTGAAGAAGTAAGTTTACAAATAGTCTATTCATTTATCTTTCATTTGATACCTCATTTTGTCTTACAAACCCAACTATTGCCACCAATAATATTTGAAATAGTTTTTTTTAATCCCAACCTCTCATTTCTGATACCCGGGTGGGAATAGCTGCTTCATTGAAATAATGTTTTGCCAGGAATAGGAAACATTCTGAAATCTTACAAGACAATGCCGAAAGCACTGTATGACAGCATGCTTTGACATCATCTCACAACTGTTAGCATCCCATGGCCATTCCCATGTCTTTACTTTAGTCCGAAGTGCAGAGTCACCTGATTGTTACTCAATGGAATGCTGTATGTGCATAGTGACATGCTCATGCAATTCAGCAAATTGTGGCTCCGAAATTCATTATATTACGATAATATTCTTTTGGGTTTACCGAGTGAAATGCAAATGCCAAATGCAAGCATATTGCATTGTGAAAGTTGAGACACCATGCCATTGTAACCTACAACTAGAGTTTTGCAATTGATTTCAATTAAAGTTCAACAAAGCCAACATACGACAATGACAACATGCCCTATTTGCAAGCCACTTGTGTACTTTGCAGTGGTGCTTTGGCTTTAGCCACATAGAACATGTTTTCGGAAGGTATTTGAAGTTGTTAAGTGAAAATCATCATATTTGACCATGTCCATGCACTTAGTAAAACATTATTGAACTGCCAAAGTAATTGCTCATTTGATGCGTTTTATTAGTGATTTGAATTTGGACTGGCATTCAGAGGAGTGCCAAAACTTCAAGTTAAAAGATAGACCAATATATTCCTGGTGCTATTTAATTTTAGGCCTAAATATTATTGTATTTGAGGCTTTTCTGATTATTTGACATTTTTATAATTTATAAGCATAATAGCTTATAATCATCAATGATTATAATTTGAAAACACCAAAAAAAAAAGTGGGTTTGGGATGACATCGAAACAAGTTAAACTGTAAATTAGTTTAAACGCTGAAACTGAAATAGTGAGTAAACTAATCCACCCTTACTGAGTTACTGACCTTAGACATAGAAGAGTCCTTGGCATTAGATTTAGATTTTAAGCCTACAGCTACTTTACTATTAGATTTAGATTGTAAAATAAAAGGGCTATTAGATGTACTGGCTATAAAAAGACAGTCCATTCAGCTAAAGTAGCAGAAAGTTTTGCTCCTGTTATTAACCTGTTAATCTACATTTTTTTGGCCATGAAAGCAGGAACTAGGAATCTGCCATCTTGAATAGTACAAACAGAGGTTACCATAGACACTTTTAGCTTTTATTTTATTGCCGGTAAGCGAAAGTAGTGTAGATCACTTCAGTTTTCTCTTTAGTACAATTAAACTGAATCCGTCTTGCCTGTTATTAGTGTAATTAAATAAAAGCTTTCATCCAGCCGATTATATTTCTGTGTGGAGATGACATTTAACATTAATATGGTGTAAAAGATTACAGTGTGAGTCTGAAGCATGATTCAAAGAAGATTATATTTATAGCTGAGTATATAGTTATACAGTAATAAATACTTCCCATTGAAATAATTAACCTCCTCATCTTAAAAAACATTTCATGAAAAGCTATTGCTGCCAACGTAGGCTGATTGGTACAGTCAAATACTTAATTTTAAGCTAATAAAGAATTCGCAATATAAATTTTCCACAGTAGTTGATTGTGTCATGCTGAAAGTGCAGTAATTTGGTTAATTATTAATTACCACTGATATAATTAACCTCTACTTTGAAAAAAAACTATCATCAAAGCCATCTTTGTAGTAGTTTGTATTCTTTGATATAAAGTAAGATAACACTGAATGATATTGATGACAAAAGTAGAACTATTCTATGTCACACTATTTTGGCTGTATTTTCAGCTCCCGATGGCCAATCATCACAAATTGTAACACAAATTAACAAATCAGAAACTTTTATCACACATCTTTAGTTATTTGTGACTGACGCCCTTTATGGATTGCCCACTACCATAATCTGTGATTCATATTTCTATGAACTGAAATCTTTTAAGTGTATTAAAATTAAAACAGTTTAAATTTCAATAGTTATATTAGCTTTTACTATTATAAATATAAAAAAAATTTTTTTTCAGTTTTATCAATTGTAATAAAATATTCTGTGTAATAATCATGTATCAAATGTAATTTCCATCTTTTCAAGTTCTTCTGACATACAACAAAGCATTTTAAAATGGCATGGCGAATTGGAAATATGAGACGAATCTTTGAAAATTTAAAAAATTCAATCTTTTCTGCCAAACAGAAAGACAAATTTGTTGGATCTGACCAGTATGGCAATAATTATTTTGAAAAAGGAGAAGGTAATATGTTGTTAAGATTAGCTTTCACTTATAAAAATAGGCCTACTTATATTCTACAATTGTACTACCTGTGTTTTATAGAGTTTCTTTTTCTAATCTTCACTAATTGTTTTCTTTTAATACTTTTAAATTTTAAACATAAAAAACTTAAGTTATTGTTACTAACATCTTATAATTATTATCCCAAAACCATAATTTTAATTTATATCCTCATTCATATAATATCCTTATCTCTTATGACTGACCCACTTTGCCATCATGTTTCTTTGATTGAATTTTATGCTAAAAGCAAGATAATAATTGATTTTAAATGATAAAAGTAATAATTAAATTTGATAACATATCTCTCACAGATAGCAGTCATAATTTGAGGGCATCTCGATATATTAAGAAAGAATTTGACCCAGACTTCACAATTCCTAAAATTCCTGTTGAATGGGAAGGTAATTATTGTGATCTTCTATTCTAATTTTATTTTGACATTCTTTACAGTTCTTTATGGAACAATTTTTGACTTCAAAGATAATATTCATTCTATAGTTTCCTCTGTAACAAAACTAACTTGGAAAGTCATTGAGTAAGTTCTATTGGTACTACATGTCCATAAGTTAAATTTAAAATCTTAACATTCTTTTTCTTAATAGGAAATTTAAGAAAAAATATATATTTAGATTAATTTGCATTTATTCTATATAATCTAAATTACCACTAAGACAGAACTAGGGTTAATTTGGAATCACATACTATAACTGTCAGTTTTGCAATAAAATTTATAAAATAATATGACTTGATTTTTAAAAAATACTCTATGAATGAGTAAAGCTTTGAAGTTTGATAAAAAATAGTATCATTAGCAAATACTATTTGGTAAAATATGTAAGATTTAAATTGTTTGAACTCGTCATCAGCTTGGCTACGAGGGAGGAGAGATATTCCACCAACTCCAGAGGTATTTGATTACTGTTCTTGTTTGTCATTCTCAAAGTTCATTTAAATTAAAAGCAGATATATTTTTGTTTCAATAACTATATTCTAAGTAGAAATTTTGCTGTGTTATTATTATTATTATAATTACAGTCGTCTTATACAGCGCGGTACCCCAGCCTAAGTATCTTCTAAATGTCTGATATATCATTGTCCGCATTTCATAATTATTTGAAAATTCATTGGCATATGTCAATAAATTTTCAAATAGTTTTGAAATTTGTTTCATTTGAAAAATTAATGTACCGGTACATGTCCAAAGTCAAGAAAAGTGACATTAATATTAAATATTTGTGTACAATATGTAATGCAGCATATTTTCCATTAATAAAACTTATGCAGGAAATTGAAAGAAACTACATCAGAATGATGCAGACAAAGATAAGAGCAGAAGAACTGGATAGAAAACATTTAGCAGAAAAGGAGGTAAATATGTCTGCTGTTTGAATCCCAGTCAATTATTGTTTCCCTTGATTAAGTTCCAAGATTTACGAACATAACATCCATAAGAAGTTTGATTGTTCTATGACCAAGCCACAGAACACTTTTCAATAAATCATAAATGTATTAATTTCTCCTCTATCCATAAATTGTATGTTTTATTCATTCCTTGCAAGTTTCTGTTCAACTCTATACATTTCTCAGTGTGTGAAAGCAAATATATATTTACTTTTTATGATCTCTTTGTTGATGGTTAGTAAAGCTTTCTCTTTGCTTATAATTTAAATACTATCTTTAAAATACTCTGTTTTCTCACAATTTGTTACCCGTTTTCTCTTCTCACAATTTGTTACCTGGTATATGATGGTATAGCCATTCAAATCAAATATTCTGGTATGTTTTTAATTCTCAGACAGCCAACAGTTGCCCTACACCCCTGACAATTACTGAGGATATTAAGCCAAACCATGCAACAAGTAAGTTCCTAATTGGATAAATTATGTCTTTCTGTTTCTTTCAGGAAGCTTACTTTAAAAGGGGGATACAAATACAAAAGAACACTCTGATACTTCTGACATGCATCACTTGCTCTGAATTGTGAAAGACACATCACGTCTCTCACATATTGACCAAAAAAAATTTATTCCCTAGTTTTGTACTGGTACCTAGTCCATCTATTATAGTCACCTCCATATCTCTTCTGAGTTTAATTTTGGGGAAATTGCCTTATCCACCTGGGTGCAGCATTGAAAATAACATAAGAAGGTAAATAATTGTGTTTGTTCAGACTTTGAGCACTGTCTTTGTTTATTCAGAAAAAAGTATTTTTTAGTAAAGTTTTTGGTTGAAAGACAATGTTTTTAGAAATGGAAAAAGTGGGATCATAAAGTGGCCTTGCGACCTTGATCTTTTGTGACATTGTGAAAACTCTAAAAATGTATTCAAGATTGAAGTATACTATTTCATTTATTATATTATATGCTGGGTTGTCTTCCAAGGTAAAAAGGTTTGAGTTAGAGGCTATCATAAAATAATTATGGTAAGCTAATAATTGACATTTTCCTTGAATTTGAATTTCCAGACAGGGATCAACTTATTCATAATAGCCTGGATGCTAGAGGTTAAATAATGTGTATAGGTAAAGGGTTTAGTTTTAAAATGACTTGTAACTTTTCAAAAAATAATTTAACCATGACACATTTGTTTTATGTTCACTTCTTGAAAATTGTTTCTTGACAGGTTCTTTTCCCAAATATGAAGGTTTTGAGTCAGCTCCTGGTGAAAATATTAACAAGTTGGATAAAGTTAAATAACTTTTTAATGATCTGCCCAAGGGTTAAGTGTTGTGCTTACAAGGCTTCAGGTGTTTTATTTCTTCTGCTTGTCAACACAAAACAAAACAAGAAGTAGGAGTGGATTAAACCAGGACAAGATCGTAAAGCTCTTGTTTGGAAACAATTTGACTTCTCGGACTTCTCCCATGAAAATACAGGCACAGCTAATTAAGAGGAATGAATTTTAAAAAAAAATAATAATAATTTTATTTTGAAACAATTTCCTTGTTGTCTTCAACAAATCCTTCAATAACACTGGCTCTAAAAAGGTTCTGGACTTGGAAAAGGAAATCTTTGTAGTTCCAATTTCATCACCTGTCATGTCAAGTTTTTTTTTTTCAGGAAAAAAAAGTTGTCTCTATCAAACATAGATTTTAAATTTAAAAAAGATGCCAGTACCAAATATAGATCTTAAATAAAAAAAATAAAGTCATTTCCTTTTTTAAACTTGTAATAACAAACCATAAAAAAAAAACTAAAGCTCAGAAATATAACCTATTTATATCTCATATTTTAATTGTCTTTCTTACATGATGTCAGTATTTTGCAACAGACTAGTCAGAACTCCTCTGAGTTTGAATGTCTGATAGCACTCTGAATTTGAATGTCTGATAGCATACTTGTTAGGATCTGACAACCAAATCTACAGCCTTATCAAGATTAAAATTAAAAAGAATAAAGTTGATGAGCTTTTTATAAGGTGCCATCCATACATGATGTCGTGCATCTTGAGATGGGTGTGGGGAGGTGTCCACCTATTTTTAACGATGTATTATAATGGTGTTATATGTTAATGATGTATTATAATGCATCGAGGATTGGTCTCACCAGCCACACCAAGAGCTGCAAGCAATAAAGATAATCTATCGTCTCCCGCAGACGGAAAGATGCCATACATACATAATGGTGTATAAATTGTGTAATGAATTTGTGATGATGGGGGAAGGTCTATAATCTGTCAAAATTGTTTTATTGACAAGTGACGTGTTTTTAACAATAATAACCAACAGCAGTAGAACAGTATATTATTTTATTGTTTTCAAAAATATTGTTTTCCTTTTCATTACTAATTGATTGGTACTATGTACTAAAGGCATTCACACCAGGTCCAGATCTCAACAATACAATGTTATAAAAATCACTTATCCATACAATCTTAAACATTTAACATATAGTGGTTTAAAAATTTTTGAAGAAACTTTTGGCTAATCCAACAATCTTGTCACACAGACTGCATTTAATGTAAACAAAATTCAATAACAAATTCAAATTTTTCCCAGTGGGAATATTTGTTGAAAAGAATATAATTGAAGTTTAAGCAATGTGAATAAGTTTAGCACATACTCACCTTAATTATAAAAATATGCTTTATCAAGTGCCAAACTTATATTCAAAATTGTCTGCAAAATTTTCCAACCTTGAGATGAGGACCAACTTATGGGAACAATGGATGAATTATGTTAACTATATGATGAGACATTGAAAGGTGTCACCAAATACAAATTTAAAAACCCTTAAGTTTGACCTGCTACAACTCTGATAGCAGAAATATAACATTTCTTCCTGATGCATCATCCACAGAAATATAACATTTCTTCCTGATGCATCATCCACAGAAATATAACATTTCTTCCTGATGCATCATCCACCTGAGAAAACTATTAGCTCCCCACACACTCAGACCATTGCAGAATAGCTTCCCCAAATACCAGTTCTGTTTTTCAAACATTATTAAATTTACTATGATGATTCAGTCGTATGTTGTCAATAAATTAATGAAATCCCATACAATTCATACATCGCTCTTATTTTAATGGGAAAACTTCATGTCCTTTTTAAAAGTTAATTAAAATTAAAGACAAGATATGACAAGCATACACTTCACTTATCTAAGAAGCTGAATGTTGGCATAAAATTATTAGCCTCATAATCAAATGATGGAATCATGGTTTTAACAAAATTAAATAAAACAGGATTAAAGATATGTTAATGCTACTCAATAATACGTAGCATGAGGCTGATTCCCTTATGAGCAGTGGTTCTCTAACACAGATACCCCAACCCATGTGCTGCGTCACAATTTGTAGGCATCTTGTTTCAAGTCAAATGTTAAGTGGATTAGGCCTACACACCATAAAATCTAGATTACAATTACAGTTTATATCTTTTACACAAAACAAGATAGATATGAGAACAAAATAAACGTATAGACTGAAGTTCAATAACTAATCCCCCAGTACACACTGAAGTTCAATAACTAGACCCTCAGTACACACTGAAGTTCAATAACAGGACTCTCAGTACACACTGAAGTTCAATAACTGGACCCTCAGTACACACTGAAGTTCAATAACTGGACCCTCAGTACACACTGAAGTTCAATAACTGGACCCTCAGTACACACTGAAGTTCAATAACTGGACCCTCAGTACACACTGAAGTTCAATAACTAGACCCTCAGTACACACTGAAGTTCAATAACATGACTCTCAGTACACATTAAGGTTCAATAACTGAACCCTCACATGGAAAATATAGGATAGCAGTGTCAAAGATAAAGTTATATACATTACAAGGGGAAACAAAGGAAGATAAACCTAAACATTTAATTTTGTATTTTACAACTAGAAAATTGAAAGAGATGTACCTATAACCAGCAAAAGGTCCGAATTGTGTTCATTAAATAAAATTTTAGACCAACATTCTAATTGAAAAAGGAATGGTGTCCACTGCAGATGTGACAGTGTTTGAAAATCTGGCCAGTTGATCATTATTTTAACGTGTTAAAGATCCACTGCTAAAAAGGAAAAGCTGTTTCTTCAAAGCTGTTTTAAAGCTGTTTCAACAACGCTGTTTCAACAAAGCATGTACATGAGAGAAAAATATGCAAACTGAAACATCACAATTGCAATGGCCACAAAATGAGAAAGTCCACACTCCAACAAGTAAGCTATGCAAACTGATCAACAATCTTGAATCAAATACCAAAAATTACAAATCTGAAACCTGAATAATTCCAACATGAAAACTTGCAGAACAAATAATATCTACCTGTACATCTTGAACTATCTCTGTACCGGCACAATGCACCCATTCTTCAATTGTTCGTTATCAGCTCACTACAGACATATGTACAATGAAGGGCTAAAAATCATATGAACAACTCTCATTACGGTCCCATATGTCCCCACTATCAGGTGGACCACACACACACATTATTTACAGTATCTGTTTCAGTCGCCCCACACATGCGCCAGGATGGTCCTATCTGTTTCAGTCGCCCCACACATGCGCCAGGATGGTCCTATCTGTTTCAGTCGCCCCACACATGCCCCAGGATGGTCCTATCTGTTTAAGTCGCCCCACACATGCGCCAGGGTGGTCCTATCTGCTTTCGTCTCCCCACACATGCCGCAGTATGGTCCTTCGCCCCACACATGCACCAGGATGGTCCTATCTGTTTCAGTCGCCCCACACATGCGCCAGGATGGTCCTATCTGCTTCAGTCGCCCCACACATGCGCCAGGATGGTCCTATCTGCTTCAGTCGCCCCACACATGCGCCAGGATGGTCCTATAAGTAAACCCTTCGTAAATCATTAGGTGCCGTGATCATGTTACATTGCGGACACAATTTTTTGGCTCCCTGGGGAAAAAAGTCAAAACAATTTGGCATTACAAACTAAAATATTTTCTTTCCCATCTTTTATTTTAGTTTCAGCCGTATTAGAAAGTGTATTTAAATTTTAAAAGATTTCTCCATTTGAAAAAAAATTTGAATTATTTTTACTTTGTCAACTAAATTTTAAAATGCATTCTTTGACAGAAAAGGCTCATTGCCTACATAATTATAATTTATTACACTAAAGTGAAACACATGAAGATACCGGTATTGACAGGGCTTAATTTAGATGTCTAAGTGTCATTGTCGATTAACCACATTAATTACCAGAGTTCTCATCCAGCAAGCCTCACAGTGAACATGCCAACACTGGATGGAGGTCAGTGGAGTCTTGTACGCCTCCTAGAGGAAGGGACCAATGGTTAGCAACAAACTATTGATGGTTCAAGACAAAGAGACAAGGAAATATCAAACACATGATGTAAGAAGGATATAAGGCAATACCAAACACAGGGTATGAGAAAGATATCAGGAAATACCAAACACAGGGTGTGAGAAAGATGAAGATATCAGGTAATATAAAACACAGGGTGTGAGAAAGATGAAGATATCAGGTAATATAAAACACTGGGTGTGAGAAAGATGATGATATCAGGTAATATAAAACACAGGGTGTGAGAAAGATGAAGATATCAGGTAATATAAAACACTGGGTGTGAGAAAGATGATGATATCAGGTAATATAAAACACAGGGTGTGAGAAAGATGAAGATATCAGGTAATATCTAACACAGGGTGTGAGAAAGATGAAGATATCAGGTAATATAAAACACAGGGTGTGAGAAAGATGAAGATATCAGGTAATATCTAACACAGGGTGTGAGAAAGATGAAGATATCAGGTAATATAAAACACAGGGTGTGAGAAAGATGATATCAGGTAATATCTAACACAGGGTGTGAGAAAGATGAAGATATCAGGTAATATAAAACACAGGGTGTGAGAGAGATGATATCAGGTAATATCTAACACAGGGTGTGAGAAAGCTTCGTAAATGTCCTTTTAAAAAAACAGCTGCCTAAAGCCTTCAATAGACCCCCACCCCCAACCAAAAAAAAAAAAGAGGACAAAATAAAGTTTCAAAAAGTAAAATGAAAACAAAAATAGCCGCCATAAAGTTTGAAATTATTAATAACCCATTTAAAGTTTGGATCAATTCTTAATATGGAGTTGTCCTACCAAGGACACTGTTAAGTTGCCTGATAGCTTTTTAGTGAAAAATGCTTTCCAATCAAGATAGATTAGTTAAATCAACAGATGAGATTAAACGAGACTGCTATTTTGTAGACTAATTTAGTCTCAAGTTTTTACCATGCATATCAGGCATTTCTGTTTAGAGGATTTCTCAGCTTCAAGGTCGCGCAGCTTCATTCGCAGTGCAGCTATCAATGCAGATTGTTCCTCACCTCTTTAAAAAAGAAGAATACATAGGTTCAGAAAACACTGAGCCATGACGTCATGGCAGTTGTAGAACGTCAAATAGAATCTTTCCTGTCTATAGAATGTTTATACAGTGTTAGGTGTAGAAAAAACTGTCTATAGTAACACAATAATAATAGACTGCTATAGAATGTTTACAATGGTTCGTGTAGAACAAACTGCCTATAACAAGAGATATAAATAGACTGACCCCTGATCACAGTTGGAAATAGCGAATCCTTCATATGCTGCTGATGACTGACTGCAGCATCCACCTGTAGACAGAAAGAATGATTTAGTTTAAAAGTAGTGAAAATAAAAAAAATAAACATTTTAAATATGTTGGAACAGAATTGGTGATTGAAAGGTGATGTGTGCCACACTACAAGTGAATGTAGTTACACAACTACAAGTGAATGTAGTTACACAACTAGAAGTGAATATAGTGACACAACTACAAGTGAATGTAGTTACACAACTACAAGTGAATTTAGTTACACAACTACAAGTGAATGTAGTTACACAACTACAAGTGAATGTAGTTACACAACTAGAAGTGAATATAGTGACACAACTACAAGTGAATGTAGTTACACAACTACAAGTGAATTTAGTTACACAACTAGAAGTGAATATAGTGACACAACTACAAGTGAATGTAGTTACACAACTACAAGTGAATGTAGTTACACAACTACAAGTGAATGTAGTTACACAACTACAAGTGAATGTAGTTACACAACTACAAGTGAATGTAGTTACACAACTACAAGTGAATGTAGTAACACATTTTTTCTAATGGAAGAAAGCAGACATTTTCTTTGTATAGAAAAAGATATATGATGTCGTTATGTTAAATGGTTATTTTATAACTTGTGGTAGTTCGTCTGTTGAAAGTGGATCATGACCCTTTTAAATATCAGCTAACTGCTGGGGCTGAATCTGCGAGTGCGCAGATGGCTGATCAGACCAATTCTGGCACGAAATGTCCTGGAGCAGAAGGCGCAGGAAATGGATGGGACAACTCTAGGTACAGAGTTAACTCGGGCTTTTCTGGCTTGTCTCTTGTGTTCTGCAGAAGCTGTTCTGTCAGACTCGTGTTGCATTGAGTCCTTGTGTATGGAAGAGTGCACCGAGTTTCTATTCTTTGAGGATTGTTCCCACATGTCCGGGCCAATGAGAAATGCTTTCAAGGATAGTTTCAGTGTGTCCTTAAAGCGTTTCTTCTCTCCTCCTGCAACCCCCATGCCCTGATTGAGTTCACCATAAAATATTCTTTTTGGCAACCGGTCGTCTGATATTCCGGCAACATGGCCCGCCCAGTGAAGCTGAGACTGCATTAATAAGGTCTTTATACCGAGGAGACCTGCTTGTGCATGTACCTCAGTGTCTGGTATCCCGTCCTGCCATTTGATGTTGAAGATTTTTTGGAGGCTCATCTTGTGAAAGTGGTTTAGTTTCTTTGGTGGGCAGAAAAAACGCTTCAAACTTCAAGGACTGTTTAAAAGCATGACTCTATTCCATGAACATTGATCTTGATTTGTGGGAAACATTTGCCACGGACCATGCACGCTGGCATGGTAGACTCACTTTCAAAGCACATTCCTCACAGAATAAGTCCACGGCTCATGCCCAAAGACAGCGCATTGCAAGGAAAAGTAGAATCGACTCGAATCCTTTAAGGACCCAAAACAACGTGTGCCCCGATTGCGGGAAAGCTTTCTAGGCATAAATAGGACTGGCAAGCCACCTGCATCCTCACCGTGTAATGAAGCCTGGGTCATCTTTGCATGCGAAGGATGAACACCACATATCTTGCCATGCTCTAAGTAAGTCACATCGCATTGCTATTCCTGCTTTTCCTCTGTGCAATCCTCCAGAGGCAGTCTTCACATGCTGCAGGCTACAAGCCCTGTTTACCCAAGACTACCCTCTACCTGGTTTTGAAAGCTAGTTGAAGCCGTTTTCCATGGTGTGGCCACTGTGTATGCTACAGCTTCTTGGAGCCACAGGTGAGAGCTGAGCACCATTTGCGGGCAAAAGATTGCTTAGCTACCCCAAGGGAAAACAACTGCTGCACAATCAGAGGTGCTACCCCTCAACAAAGTACCCGTTCCACCACCATAACTTGTAAAGAATACATTCAACAGTATCGTCATCTAGTATAATCCAGTGACAAGATCAAGAGAGTGCCCACAGCACAGCTCAAGGGAAAGTGATACGCCTGAAATTACTAGCTAGTATTAAGAAAAATACTAACTCAAGTAATAGTGAATTTAATAATCAATTGGCACCAATGAAACTCTCAGACAGTATGAAGACATTGGGACCAATGAAACTTTCAGACAGTATGAAGACATTGGGACCAATGAAACTCTCAGACAGTATGAACTCTCAGACAGTATGAAGACATTGAGACCAATGAAACTCTCAGACAGTATGCAGACATTGGGACCAGAGAAACTTTCAGACAATATGTAGACACTGAAATTATTTGAGTTCTCCCTAATTGTGTAAGTTCATACAATCTTTTAGATGTTGACAGCAGCTACAGTAGTAATCCTAAAACTTACCATCAGAATTGACAGTGTCTGTCCTTGAGGTGAAGCTGATGATGGGACAAAACACAAAGAAAACAAGCTAATTACTTTGTATAAATGTTTGCCTGCATCCAATGCCCCCAATTCAAACTACAGAAAACATTTATTGATATTTTACTGTCTGCAATGTACAAATAAGCTCAATGCAAAATACCTTAATTCATCATGATATATTTATCATCTCTTCATAAACTGAGAACCTGTAGTGTTATAATATCAAGACATCTTTTTATTTTAGCTAACACCATAGCAGTGACTTTAACATCCTATCACAGTGACTTTTACATCCTATCAGTGACTTTTACCTGCTCTCCATAGGCAGCGATATTCTAGATGCTCTGCTCTCATTATGAGGACTGTTGCCAGAAGAACCAAGTGGAAGAATGTCTTTTTCACTAAATCTTAATCAAGTTAAGATATTCAACCCTCATTCAGACAGTTAACTAATACTTTTTCATGCTAGATGACATTTGTCATAGATTCAAAACACTTGTTCATAGATTGAAGTATGAAGTCGGTATTGAAAAACTTTAAAGAAGTACATTGACTGGTTACAGCTACACAAAGTTTGAATTTCATTTTCCATCAAAATGTGAGCTATGACGAGTTCCCATAAGAATGGGACCATCTATGACATGTTGAATGGGAACATCTATGACATGTTGAATGGGACCATCTATGACAGGTTGAATGGGGCCATTATGACATGTTGAATGGGACCATCTATGACATGTTGAATGGGAACATCTATGACATGTTGAGTGGGACCATCTATGACATGTTGAATGGGACCATCTATGACATGTTGAATGGGACCATCTATGACATTTTGAATGGGACCATCTATGACATGTTGAATGGGACCATCTATGACATATGGAATGGGACCATTATGACATGATAAATGGGATCATCTATGACATACAGAATGGGACCATCTATGACATGTTGAATGGGACCATCTATGCATGATGAATGGGATCATCTAATGATATTTTAAATGGGACCATTTATGACATGTTGAATGGGACCAACTATGACATGCTGTATAGAACCATCTATGACATGTTGAATGGGACCCCATCTATGAAATGTTGAAAAAGATACTGAGGTTTTCCATATTCCTCTGTGTCATCGCCATCAACATTCAGCTCACCATCCTCATCTGAACCTTTCCTTGTAGTTTGAAAACCCTGGCCTGGAAGGAAACAGAAAACAAGCAACCAACGTTGAATTTAAACTCATTCCAATAGAGTCAGAGGCTATAATTTCAGCAAATAATTCAATATTTTTAATGAGGTTAAAAACAGATTTTGTTTGCTCAGTATTTCTGGTAGCGGTAAATGACAGGATCATTTGCATTGTGTCAGGGTTAGCACCAAAACAGCTAGAACATACAATTTCAGTTTAAGTTAGCGCTCATAGTGAGACACAGTCAAACGATCTGACACATGCCTGGTAGTTTCTGGGATTCTAAACCCCACTTTGTCAGCAGATTGGTCCAAAGATTTTCTGACTTTGCCATAGAGCAGCTATAATCAGCATACTATCGTTAAAATTGTAATGTCAGGTGTCAATCGACACTCAACATTTGTTTTTTTAATCTCTAATCAAAGAGAGCCGATGTCCTCTCACAACACCATTGGACCGTGTGACCCTAACCATTGCTAGAGATCAGGAAACAGTAGCAGATCCTCCATCTTAAAGGGTGGTGGACCCGATCGAGACATCTTTGAACTTACCAGAAAATCCACCCTCTAACATGGAGGTGGCCCTGACCCTGGTTTGCCCCGCCCATTCATACTCCTCATACTCGCCTTCCACGTCAACAGGCTCCTCCTCCCCATCGGTTCTCTGATAGAAATACACAAAAAATGGAGAACATTTTTAAAAAAAAAAAAAACAAGATAAAAGTTCAACACAATTTGAAAAGGACATTTTTTAAAATCCACTAAACGTCAGTCAAGATGGATGACACAAATTTGGAATTAACAAAACTAAATGTCTAGGATACATAATTCATGGCAGATTCAAGTCAACATAACACATTCCAGATGTGTGGTACCTGTTTGAGACACATTTCCACATGAGCGTTGAGATCGTCTGCTGCCCCCATGACCCGATCGTTGCAGATTGGACACACCGTCTCCTTCACACCTTCTTCCCCTGGCTTCTTTTTCTTGTTGCGACTTCGAGCTGGAGGGAAAACATACAATAGTCCTGTACCTGACACGTGAGCCAAGTTGGTCCAGCTGATAAAACCCATGCTGTTACTGTTGGGTTGTGTCAGAAGTTGATAAAACCTATGTTTTTATTGTTGGGCTATGTCAGAAGTTGATAAAACCTATGTTGTTATTGTTGGGCTGTGTCAGAAGTTGATAAAACCTATGTTGTTATTGTTGGACTATGTCAGAAGTTGATAAAACCTATGTTGTTATTGTTGGACTGTGTCAGATGTTGATAAAACCTATGTTGTTATTGTTGGGCTATGTCAGAAGTTGATAAAACCTATGTTGTTATTGTTGGGCTGTGTCAGAAGTTGATAAAACCTATGTTGTTATTGTTGGACTATGTCAGAAGTTGATAAAACCTATGTTGTTATTGTTGGACTGTGTCAGATGTTGATAAAACCTATGTTGTTATTGTTGGGCTATGTCAGAAGTTGATAAAACAAACCTATGTTGTTATTGTTGGACTATGTCAGAAGTTGATAAAACCTATGTTGTTATTGTTGGACTGTGTCAGATGTTGATAAAACCTATGTTGTTATTGTTGGGCTATGTCAGAAGTTGATAAAACTTATGTTGTTATGGTTGGACTGTGTCAGAAGTTGATAAAAGCTATGTTGTTATTGTTGGGCTGTGTCAGAAGTTGATAAAACTTATGTTGTTATTGTTGGGCTATGTCAGAAGTTGATAAAACCTATGTTGTTATTGTTGGGCTATGTCAGAAGTTGATAAAACTTATGTTGTTATTGTTGGACTGTGTCAGAAGTTAATAAAACATTTCAAATACGAACCCTAAATTTCAAGGGCTTCTCAACCTTTTTTGCAACATGGCACCCCCTCTCAAATTTAATACATTCCCCCCCCCCACCCCTAGCTCGACATAATTCATTATTCCACATTATTGACATGGTCCACATCATTCACATGGTCCACATAAGACATATTATTTTAAGTAAATATTAAAGTTCAAGCCCTCTATAATATAAATAAGTTATATTCCATATCAATGTTGTAAGCCTACATTTTTTATGTTATATTCCATGTCAATGTTGTAAGCCTACATGTTTTCATTTGATGCACTGTGGAATCCTATGAGCCCCCAATTGTTGTCATGATTACAGAGGTGTAGCTAAGGGGGGGGGGGTGGACTAATGTCCACGTGCACCAGAGTAGTTGGGGGCCCCAAAATTGGGCTTTGATGGTATTTTATGGAATAAAATAAGGGGTTCCAGAATTGTGGGGGGTAATTGAATCTTTCCCTTGGTGCAAAAAACATTAGCTACGCCTCTGCATGTCCAATAGCTTGCCTTTCTGTATAAAATTGTTCCTATAAACTAAGACCAAACAAAAGTCCAATGTTAGTGAAAGAATAGATTCATGTAAGACAAACTGGCATTCATGAACAGCGGCAGCTCTCAACAGACTGGATGAGACAGTCCTATTGTTACACCATCAACAGAATATGTATCAATGTTGGTACCCTTATTCCACAGTTTACGGTTTGTGGACCAAACTTGTTATTTATTTGACTCTAAACTGAACTGAGTCATGGCCAACTCAATGATTCAACAAAACATTTCTAACATTCTTGAGGTTTAATTCTTGTACATTGAGCTAACCCACTGTGTCCCATTCTTAAAATACTTCTTTTTTTTTCCTTCTCCTGATTTCATCAAGATGAAAAAAGAGCTACATTTTATCTCCTTGACACAAGAGTTCCCTGAAATGTGCAGAGATCAAGTTGCCCTAGAACTATCAGAACAGATTGAAAAGGGAGGTAAATGCCATTCAAGCATTGCCCAACCTGTGAGAAGTGCTGTCAGCCTTAGGGACATAAAGTTACTAAGACATTGTCTTCTTTCTCAGCACTGCCTCCCCCCCCCACACCCCCCACCCTCTCAAAAAAAAAACCACCAATACCAGTTAGCATTATTTACAGTAAACATTTCTTTGTTGAAATAAGTTTTAACTTTATATTCAAAAATCAGATACATAATATGGATTTCTATTACTTCTGTCACTTCACTACAAGTACTAGAACTACATTTTAACTGACACAATTCTACTACTTCTGTCACTTCACTACAAGTACTAGAACTACTTTTTAACTGACACAATTCTACTACTTCTGTCACTTTACTACAAGTACTAGAACTACATTTTAACTGACACAATTCTACTACTTCTGTCATTTCACTACAAGTACTAGAGCTACATTTTAACTGACACAATTCTACTACTTCTGTCACTTTACTTCACTTCAAGTACTAAATTTACAATTCTACTAATAATTTGATTTCCCCTAACTAGGACTCCTACATTTTTTAAATAATTTTAATTGGTCATCATATGTACATAGAAGAATATATCATGCAGAAACAAACACACAAAAAGTAAAGATAAATACAAGGGTTGTTCTAAAAGATAAACATTTGAAATGCTTTTCTATAAAAAAAAATATTTTTTTATAATGTGCAAGATTTTGTTCCTAAGTTAATTATTTAAAACAGTAATGGTGCAAGGTGAATAGATAGTCGAAATAGACTATGACCACCTTAATCGTCATATATTATGCCAATCTTAAACTTGGCACTAGGTGGGCAGATGGCTGATGAGGCAGATTCTGGCATAAAAATTGTATTGTGCAGTAACATTCTTAAAATTCTATTAAATATTTGCCTAAGTTGTGACAGATTGTGAGAGATGTTGTAGGATTTAGAAGAAGAAGAATGCTGAAAAAGATCAGTTTCCTATGCACCTGAAGCATCAACAACTCAGTGGTCAACAACTAAATAGTCAACAACTAAATTGTCAACAACTAAATGGTCAACAACTAAATGGTCAACAACTAAATGGTCAACAGCTCAATGGTCAACTACTAAATGGTTAACTACTACATGGTTAACCACTCAATGTTCAACAACTAAATGGTCAAGTACTGAATGGTCAACAGCTCAATGGTCAACAGCTCAATGGTCAACAGCTCAATGGTCAACAGCTCAATGGTCAACAGCTCAATGGTCAACAGCTCAATGGTCAACAGCTCAATAGTCAAATGCTAAATGGTCAACAGCTCAATGGTCAACAGCTCAATAGTCAAATGCTAAATGGTCAACAGCTCAATGGTCAACAGCTCAATGGTCAAATACTAAATGGTCAACAGCTCAATGGTCAACAGCTCAATGGTCAACTACTCAATGGTAAACAACTAAATGTTCAACTACTTAATGGTGGCAAACAGTTCAATGAGACAAAACAGTGCAGCGCCAAGTGTGATAGAAACAAAGAGAGGAGCTCCAACACATTCCAGGAGCTGTCTATCACACTCAAGGCTCAATAGCATCTACTTGTCAAATAGAAACCATTTGCTTTGATTTATAACTTAAACGGCCCATTGGTGTGATCCTCACTTTTACAGGACACCTTGTACCCTAAAACTTTTTAGCGGCTTGTTTCGAGATCCATTTCAGTTTATATTCCTGGCAATAAAAATTAAAACCGTCCTCCAGCATGACTGGATTAATCCCTGCTAATACCCGCTAATCCCTGGTAGTGCAATAAGCTGTGTACATCTGGTAAATATTTTACAGGGGGAGACAATGTCAGGACAGATCCACTTACTGTGTCTTAAGTGTATTCAGTTTATTCCCCAATCTGGCGGTGTAAATTGCTGTGAAACTTGGATGACAGAGAGTTGTCTTACAGCACAGGTGGCGCTGTTCTACTGGCTTTAGCTTTTTATTACAGTAAAACCACTTAACCACAATATGGAGAGGTGTTTTTTTTTAATAACCCATAAGAATTGTCTTGTACTTAATAAACAGTGTNTATATATATATATATATATATATATATATATAATGTGTTATTTTAAAAATGTTTTCTGGTTTAAGGAGTAATTGAATAGAGTGACTTGTCACTTCATTATAGCTAACACAGCAGCCTATTTTTGTTAAAGCTATCCATTCACTAAAATCATAGCCTGGAACTGGATGACAAAAAAAGTTGCCAATCTGCTGAAAGATCTCGGTTACCGGTACTAATGATAGTGTTTGGAGTTTTTCAATTTGCCAGCTTGTATGTTGGTAATAAATAGTCCTATATTGAGATGATGTCTGCCACATATAGAAACGACATCTGCCACACATAGGGATGACATCTGCCACATATATAGATATGACATGTGCCACTTCTAGGGACGACAACTTTCATAAATAGAGATGACACCTCCACACACAGAGATGACATCTGCCACACGTAGGGATGATATATGCCACATACTGGGATGACAACTTCCATAAATAAATAGAGACGACACCTCCACACCTATAGAGATGACACCTGCCTTCTTGCACTGGGTACTGATTCATCTTCTGTGTAAAGCCTCCCATTTACATTCACCCCCAAACATCTGATGGGCTTAATACAAACCAACATACCACTGAGCCTTGACTGGCGGTTGCATCTGATTCTGAGAAAATTCTGGTGAAGAAAAAAAAAAAAAAAAAAGGAAAAAAATTTATTTTTAAAA